ACCCTGTATAAGCAAATCTAAAAAATATGATAAATTACAATTATGGACTGATTATATTTTGCACATTTTAGATAGGATTTATTCGACAAAAATTTGAGATGACGTCATCAATTTTTTGGTGTTGATAAACAGGTATACATTTTGATTCAAAAGTTACCATGCTTGCAATAACTTCAAAACGTCAAGATTTCAAAGTATTCAATAAATTAACTGGGTCATTAATTTTTTTCAGACACCCCCTATAAGCAAATTTAAAAAATATTAGTGCAGTGATAAATCACATGTATATACTCATCATACTTTGCACATTTAATATAGAATTTATTCAGCAAAATTTTGGGGTGACGTCAACAATTTTTTAGGGGGATGAGCAAATACATTTTGAACAAAAATGTATCATGCTTATCATAACTTTAAAACATCTGCAAGATTTCAAAGCATTCGGTTTTGCAGATTCAAAATTAAATTGCAAAAATGTTTTATAATTTTGATTTTTTTTCCAAAAGTCTGCACGTTTTGGGTAAAAACTCAATACGGAATCATAAACTACATGTGTAGGACTATGTTATTTTATACAATTTAAAACGCAAGGAAGTTTAGACAAATTTTGGTTAGCGTTTTACCACCTACATGATATTCAAATATAAACACAAAATTTGACAACAATCGGCCCAGTACTTTCGGAGATTATGTCTAATAAAAATCGGGAAGGCAGACAGACAGACAGACAGACAGAAAAGAGAGACCTATTTCTTCGTACTCTAGGGGTCATGAAAGGTCGAGAAACCGTAAAAGTAGAGAGTGGGCCGACGGACTCGATTACAATACTTCCCAAGCGTAAGCAAAGTCAAACGACAAAAATTTCGAGATCTACCATAATATGGGTGTTCCGATTCCGTCTATCTGTTGTGTGACTGTCTGTCGTCTGTGTCAATATTAGACAGATAATCTCCGAAACTAGTGGCTCATTGTTGTCAAATTTTACATGTACAGTACATACTTTAAAAATATAATACAGACGATAAAGCGCTAACCAAAATTGGTCTAACCAACCTCACAAACAATGTGATGGCGTCATCTCAAAATTCTGCATAGTAATTGTTATTTAAATTTCTTAAAATAACATACTTTTATACTTGTGGTTTATGAATCCGTCTTTATTGTTTACCCTATATGCGAACGAATGCCGTACTTTGTAAATGCTGAACGCCGTTCATTATAAGCGACCAAAGCCCTATTTATAATAACTGTGCTATACAAAGTTTGCAAATTCTGACGGCCGTACTTTTAATTCAGAATTGCTTATACACGACGACTCAAAAAAAAAAAAATTCACGAAAACGCAATTTATTTTATTGATTAAATTAACAACGGTTTACCCCCATTTTCCCGAAAATTGGAGAATACTATTATTGAAACACACGCATAGCATGCTTCTTTTTAATACACTTTAAGGGGTCATCATAAAAAAATAAAATCAACAACTAGATTCTGTCCAACATTTTACAGCATTTTTTAACATACTGTATGTTTAATTTAATTTAGTTCTATGACATAAAAATATATTCCTAAAGCAGAAACAACGTTGCCTTATGAAGCACATTTTTTAACAAACGTTTTCTAAGAAATTTTTAGCATGACGTCATTAATTTTCTGGAGAGGGTGACTACATAAAGTTTTATGTTCGTTTGTTAAATTCTAAGGCAAAATCTAAAATTTGCGTCAATTTTTTTGTGATGACCAGTACATGTATAATTAAAAATATGGATACAAATTAAATAATATCATAAAACCACAAATAAAATTACAGTATACAATTTAAGAAAGATTTTCTCACTGAAATTTTAGAGTGACACCATCTAGTTTGTCGAAGGAATGAAAGACGAATTTTGATTATTGAATTCACGATAACATTAGAGTCTACAAAATTTCAAAGCAATCGGTTTTGTAGTTTCTAAGGTAAATTTTATAGTTTTGTTACGCAATTTTAATTTTTTCATCACAATTTATTTTGTACGTTTTAAATGAATTTTACTTTATATAATTTTAGCAAATTTTTAAAAAGATGTTCACACAGATGATTCTGAGAATACGTCTAAAATTTCGTAGTTTCGCAAATTGTCTGCCTAATAAAGCCGATACAAAACGGAAGACCTACTTTTTCATATTGTACACCTAACCTAAGTATATGGTCGTGAAATAAAAAAGAAATTAAAACTTTTCTTCTTAGAAATTATTTATTCTTTGACGAGTATTACACACAGAAACAACTTTTGAAAGTATGTACTAGTAAGGAAAATTTCAATAAAAGTTTCAAAACTGACTACTGCATGGCCTAACAACAGACATTCAGTTCTACCTCTGTTAACATTAATGCTACTTAACTGATTTGGGCAGAACTTAAATAAAATTCATAAAAAAAAAACAATACTCACTAAACATTAATAACAATGCAATAAAATTTATCAGGCAAGAAGTTTCAAAAGGACAAGTTTGTTGATTTGTGATCATGGTATAAAACGCATTACAATGATATTTTTTATTTACGAAAAAATAAAATTTGTTGTCTGCTTCTGTTTCTACACTCTACAGTCTATAATAATGATTATTATTAAAATCAACGAAATATAAATCAATTTAATAACTCCTTTCTGTCATAATCACACTAGTTTAATTCGACTATACATACATTATTTCCATAAATTATTAAAGCGATAAAAATGCAATTCCTGCACTATTACTATTATATGCTAATTTTAGCACACTGATGACTCACAGATGAACATTTTCACGAAAGTTGTGCAACATGTACTTATCGAATGTCCCTATCAAAAATTCCAAATTGTGAATAGCCAATGATCGCACGAAAAACTTGTTTAATCCCCGATTTTCCATTATCGAAGACAACAAATACTGACGGTTTATCAATAAAATAATAATTCACAAATGGATTTACGACACCTTAAAGTATGTAATTACACTTGGGAAGTACATATTTGCATAATTTTATTACATTTATCTGCAAATATGTTTAAGTTTAATGGTTTTTCCTTTCTCCAAGTACATAATATTTACAGATTACCGTTACAATACATAGCACAGCTGCATTTCCATTTATAACATTAAATAATAATTATTATATTCAAGCGGCGTTGTCAGTTTACATCAGACTTAAAATAAGAAAACAATTAGAACAGCCAACGAAAAAAGACGGTTCAAGGATTAAGTTAGAAAAACGAATAAACCATATTCAGTTGGCAACAAAATAACACACCTTCTGCATCAAAACACACGTGCCAAAAACCCCGTGTCGTGTTATTCACAACAATGACGCTGTTTTCGGATTTGATTTCCCCGAATTCCACATTAAATTAGGTTTTTCGTCACGTCATCATATACCTTAGATTACATTGTAGTTTATTCATCATAACAAACAATAGTCGAGCACAATCATAGATTAAAAACAATTTGCGGATAATAGTAAACAACAACAGACAGAATGACTCCGCCGACAAACCTGTTTGCACGTTTTTTAATTCATAAAATTAACCAAATGTCAAACAACTACACATGACTCAGTAAACAAGTACTGATAATATTTTACTTTTACAAAAACAATCCAACTGCGAATAAATTCCTGAAATCTTGTCACTGCCGGTGCAAAAAATTTCGCCCAAAACTGTGAAAACGCAACGAAGTTCACACCGCAATTATCAGACTGTAAAAAATAACGACATGCAAATAACCATAACCGCGCCAAGTTAAGTAATACTAGAAATGTACAAGCAATAAAACTCAACTGCAGCTAAACGTGTCGCTCCCAATTAAATAAATAAATACAAATTACGCGCTGATTAATACGTGCACGTGTAGTGTGTTGGCGTAGTTCTAACAAGTTTTAACACGAGACAACAATTGCGAAATACAGACGATCGGTATCAAAATGGATGAAAACTTCAAGGTTACTTTTTACGGATAATTCGCGATCAAAAAGGGAAATCTTGTTGATATTGAACAGCATCGGTACGAGTATAGTTTCTAATTAATTTAAATGGGGATAAAATTACGATATTCATGGAAATTCGAACCTTGATTAAATTATATGCTTGACACAACTGCAGATGAATTATAATGAACGCCCGTATTTCCGGTTCCGAGTGATGAAATGCGCCTCGAGCATCAATCGACTGTTTCAAGAGATAAGTAGGGTAAGGGTACAGTCGGTGACACAATTACAAGTTAATATAAAACACGGCAACAATGTTATTATTACTCGAACACTTTTTTACAATTGATAATTTATTTTTTGTAAAAAAATTACAGAGTCAATGAACTAATGTAAAATATCTTAAAATAACTACTCACTTCAAAAATAGACTTAAACAAATACCTAAAGGTTAATTTATAGTGATAGGACCATGATATGCGTGTAAACAAACACGTATTAAAACATTCAACAATTGGGTTTGCTTTTTTAGTTAAACGTTATATTAAATATTTCATTATGATTATGAATATGGTGTTACCCAAGGGTATTATTTGGCCCTAACAGCACTAATGAAAGTACTCAAAATTGTGCAACTTTTACTTATTCCATTATATGTTCAGCATTTAACGACTTCGCCAATAGGCAAATGAGAAAGAGTGCATCTGAAACACGTGTAAACATTGCGTCAGATACCTCCAGAACAATTTTCACCCTTTAACAAGATAAAGATAGTTGTATAAAAATAGCAAAGATGACTCAATTCAACACGTCAGAAAAAAGAAGACCGACTACAACAAAGTACAGTCCTAAAATTACCCAAATATTGACGAATCTTTTTAGGTGGTAAATTTGATGACAGGGCGCATAATTAATAGCTTCAGGGTTTGTGTCCAAACTAAGTTCAGTCAACCCTGTTTGTATATAATACAACCGAATCCGCGGTTTCTTTGTAGTCTAAACTGATTAATCATTGTCATGTCAACAGCCTAGCAGAAAAAATTAAACGCTTTACCTTCTTCTGGAGACTCTGGACCAAGGCCTCGATACACTGTAAGTCGACTGGTGGCTGCTAACACTCGCAAAAGAACGTCCACTGAGGCTGCTGTTCAGATTCTACAAAGCGAATTATTTGGTTAGAAAAATGTTTAAATTATGACGCAGTAAACAAAAACACAATACAGGTTATTTGACTCACCTGACATAAATCCTCTCCTCTTTGTATGTAAACACCATCAACGCTACTTTGACTTAAATTTGATGGCTTCGGACTTGTATTTCCCATGTAAATACGGTTGGAACGTTTCGATTATGGGCTTCTCTCTTTCCCAAAACTACAAACATTTCCACTCTACGTTGACCTCAAAATTAAGGTAATAAACCTTTGTCAAATTTTTGACATACAAAGACCAAAAGTTATCGGCAATGAAATTTCCTGTTTGGGAAACTTATCGATAGGTACGGAGACATCTACTGGAATAAGCAATAACACGTCCATCGCGTTTTATTTCGTAAAGTGCGAACTTAACAAATTATGGGATTTTAAAAATCACAACTTAATAAAACTCATTTATTAAACCACAAACACAATAAAATTATTATTGCTTTAGTGCAAAGTGTGGTTTATTGTTAATTGGAATTTAAATTTCCCGCTCTACTCGCTCCTGACATTTCAACAAGTTTGACGTTTCGATGACAAGTGCATTATAGGTTATGATTAATATTTGTGGTACTTTTTAGGGAAATAAAACACCAATAAAGTAAGATCATTCGAGTGCACAGTTTAATATTCATGAAACTGAGTCAATTCCTGTTGTAAAAACATAGCATGGTAATTTGTTTGTGTTAGTAAACAAATCAATGGAACTGGGTGAGGAACAAGAAAATTGTGTTGAAAATGTTGAAGGTATTTGGGTTTCACGCTAAAATTAGATCTAATCGGTTATTTTTAGAGCAAATCAAAAAACTGGAAGCGGAAAAGAAAAGAATCCAGGATGAATTCAACGTCCAACGAGCCAAAATGAAAGAACTCTTCCTTCAGAAAGAAGGTAAACTGAACAAAACGTTACTATGCAAAATGTATTGGGCAGCCGGAACTGTACTTTCGGAGTTTTAGATCGAGAATATTTTTTTAAAATCGCGATCTGAGCCACAAATTATAGGTAGAAGGGGTAAACCTCAGTTTTTACCAAATTTTGAAATTTGTGGTCCATATTCATAATTTATTTTTATAATTTGCTATCAGATTGGACTTTCATTAGATACATTATTGTATGTCTTGGTTCTTAGTCCACGCTCCTTTTTTATTTTAAGTCAGTATTGAAATATTGGAGGATGAAAAATTTTGCTTTCCCCAGACAGTTTTCACTGATTTTACTCATGAAAATGTTTATGTTGTGATATGTATCTGATGAGTGATAAACAATCAGTAGTTTCTTTTACTTCATAAAAGATTTGCAAAAAATTGTGACGTGGCAGATAATTTTTTAAATTCAAGTTCAACAGTGTTGGTTTTATAAAAATGTGTAGTGTTTCATCCAATTCCTTTCCTTGTCAACAATATATTGATAACGGCTAAGATTAATATTAATATTTTTACTGTGTGAGGTTAAAAAAATATGTAATGGTTTTTTTGACATTTCACAACTTCTAGGTACGAAAACGCTGATCTGATTGTTTATTTTCTGTGGACAATTAAGATTAAGATTATTCCACTGCCAACTCTATTCATTCTTCCCAAAAACTCGATGACGTCGTCTCAAAAATTATTAAATGACTAGCCGTTGAAAAAATTTAAAACAATTACCTCAGAAACTGGTCATTAATTTCTGTCTAAATTTGTAGAAACATAGCATATAATTATTATTACATTGTCCTTGCCATATTTGTCAGGTATGTTTTAGACGTGTAGGAAGTTTTGTGTAAATAAATTTACAGATTTTTTTTTTTAATTATACGTTCTATTGTGCTACACTTTTTAAAACTTTCACCATTTTCGCCATGACTCAGTTTAGACTGTCATAACATAAATTTTATATTCGATTTTTACGTGATGTTATATCAAAACGTCTTCTTCACTTCCATAATGCCCATAAGCAACAAAAAAATTGGTCGAAGGTTATTTCAACAGAACTTCCCTCGCCCCTGAAGTGCAGCCAAATAAATCCCGCTTCTCTGAAAAATTATATATTTTTTTTTGTAATTTTTGTTTTCTGATAACCTCTATAAAGTAAAAACCAGGGGCGTAAATAACGTTCCCGCAGCTTATTTGACTTGAATTTTCTCTTTAATTTTTCATTTTTTTGTTCCTTAATTTTTTCGAGTTTTGAAGTTTAAATTTAATTTTTCAATTCAATTTCTAGATTTTGCAATTTTTCAAATTGAGTTTCTCGAGTTTTCAATTTTTTATTTTCTTTATTTTTACAATTTGTCACTGCTCCGATTTTATAATTTTTTGTTTTTTAAATTTCTTTTTTTTTCAATTTTTCGATCTCAATTGTGATGAGATTTTCATTCCTAATCAGACCGAAGGGCGGAGTTTAATTTTAACATCAATATTTCTCTAAAAAATTATACCCTTTTAAAAACATATTTCATAGGGGAGTTTCTTGTAGAGAAGTTCAGTTTACAATGAATAAAATATTCATCACAATTGAGAAGGGGTGGGTGGGCGGGTCTTATATTTGGTCCATTTTTTCTTAGTATATGAAGTCTTTTTCCAACAAGAAACTGAAAACATGTTTAACTATCCTGTGGTTCAAAGATTAAGCCCCACCCACCCGCCTCGATCTCAATTGTGATGAATTTTTCATTCGTTGTTAGAGCAAAGGGCGGGGCATAATTTCAGAATACATACTTCTCTATTGATTTGAATGAGTTTGTCTTCTCAAAACAGAGGACTAAAATTATTGATTAAACCACAATGGAACAAAATGTTATAAACATTATAATTCTTATTTTACAAGTATAGGAGTATATTTTTGTATAACATTCAACTCATTTTAAAATACGGTTTATTGAGATGACGTCATCAAATTGTTGGTGGGGATGATTAGCTAAATTTTGGCTAGTATTTAACCATCTACATGATATTTTTAACATACATACAAAATTTGACAACACATTTTTTTTCGGAGATTACGTGTCTAACAAAAATGGATACAGACAGACAGACAGACAGACGGAAACGGGAGACCACTTTTTTCGTACTGAAAGGGTCATGAAATGTCGAGAAAACATAAAAGTGGCAATTCGTCCCTATGATGATAATGTAGGTATTACTTCATAAATAATACTAAAAAAATGTTCTACAGCAGTATTTAGACTTATGATTTGAAATTTCTTCAAAACATGTATGTCCATTTTCGTTTATTTCTCTTTTTTTTCTGAAAGAATTATTAGCTAGACAAAATGGATATTGTGCACTACATATTAAACGATATTTGATGAAATCGTAGAATAAAAAATAAATAAAATAACGACTTGATGAAATGGATTTCTCAATCTTCAGCCAATCCTTGAGATTTGTGTAAATTAAGATTTATGGTTCGTTGAAGGCGCTAAAAACCTTACTTCACACATTGCGAATTTGCATTAGAAGTCAAAGAATGTATGACAACTATTTCGCAATTTTAACAATAATTTGTGATGCATTTGAATTTTTTTGCATTATTATTATTTTTGTATACATAGTGATTCAAAAATGGGCACTAACTCTACAATGAGATAAGAAGCATATGATTAAAAAAAACCTCTAGTAGGCCATGAAATTTATTTATAAAATATGATGTTGGCAAGAAATAACAGTAATGCCAACATCATTATTTTAGTAAATTTCATAGCCCACTAGAGGACTTTTTTCAATCGCATGAAATAACAAATTTAACAATAATGTAGGATAAATATACAGAGTGATGTTTTATATTACATAAGTGTTTGTTTATCAGGTTGGCTGCACCTGTACAATAGAATATTAATTCGGCATATTTTTAATTAGTTAAGTCCACCTCAACGAAGCATAAAATAAACAAACAAATTGAGTGAACGACTATTTATAATCACAATGTTTTTTCTGATATGATCGTAAACAATTTTCTAAATATGGGCTCGGCAGTACAAATTTAACAGCATTATCTTTTGTAGTAGGCAGTTTATCAAATAATCCAGAACAGGAAGCACTCTTTAATAAATATGGGTAAACAGTATCAGTACTGTTGTAAATTCAGAGGAGATAACAGGCTCAAAATGAATTAATGAAATAATACAATTTTTAAATTTCCGCTATCATTTGTTTGTTGTGCACTAGCATAAAAAATTACTTTATAGAATTTTAAAATAACTGTATTACAATACTTCTTAGTTTCCGGTAAAGAAATATAAAACATTTTTAGCTGCTTCGTACGTTTCCAGCAGATATTTTCCACATTTTCGCGTTTCGAGCATTATACTTAAATTGATTATATTTCATCTAGATGAATTGATGAGAAGAAATCACGAAAACGCTCGACTCAATTCCGAGATAGTTGAATTAAAGCGAGAGTTAGACGACTTGAAAAGTCAATTAGTAATTGCTGGAATGACGTTAGAGAACAGTTTCGAGCAAGAAAAACGAAAAGCAAACGAAGAAATCGCATCTTTACAGCAGCTAGTTCATGGTGAGCTTTTTCAAACCGTAGTAGCAACAGCTAATCTGTAAAATGTTAAAGAAACCGTTGAAGAATCGAGTTCCACGAGAAGTTTGTACGATAGAGAGCTTAAAAATTTGCAACAGTATATCCAGCAGCTACAAAATGAGATTTTGGTTTTGAAACAACAAAAACAACAGTCACCCCACCACGCAGCTCAGGTAATTATTCGTGCCTAATTTACATTATTATCAGTAACGTAGCCATGTTTGGACAGGTAGCGTTTATATTTGCCACAGGAGATTGTAATTTATGTTTTTTAGGAATCGAGCAGTTTAGCTCCTAGTGTTGTTCTCAATGCCTTGACAAAAGGAATTGCGAAAAAGTTAGGCGCTGAGGCTTTCACGAGTCAGGATAGTGGAGATGACAGCATTCGAAAGGTAGACAACAGTGATCACGTATGTGTTGCGTTGCTTTAGCATTTTTATTTTCGTTGTTTAGTTTCGTAGTACAGGAAAAACTGGAGTAATTTAGATTTTTAGTGCAGCTTTCGCCTCATTGACTAAAACCGCCTAAAATCAGACTGGCAAACGTCGCATTTTAATTTTTTGCAAATAAATATTTCCTTTGAAATTGCGGATAAGTAAAAGTTGCGTCTGAATGGTTTCGCTTTTGTCATGTAAATTTTGTAAAATAACACTGGTGGATTATGAATTCGATTTGATTTTCACTGTTATACACGAAGCTACGGAAGTGTACCTAGTTGAATTATGGTACGAGCACTCGTTTTGCATCAGAAATAATAATAATAATAATATTCAGAATATTTTGCTTCATTGTAGCTTAATTAATTAGTCCTCTCCTTTGTTTTGAGGAGACAAAATCAATAGAATTTAATTTTCTTAAATGGCTATTTTCCTTCCGCCATTTATTCTGTACGTTCTTAATAGTCGAATTCTTTCGGTATATAAATATAATATTTGCGGCTGCAGGTTGTTTTTATTTCGTTTGTTCTGGATACAAAACAGTTAACCATTATGTTTTAAATCGAAATTAGAAAAAATGTGTTGTTTATTAACCTTGTATGTAGAAAAAGATTCCACCCATTAAACACCCACTATATTCTAAGTTGATTTCCTTGTGAAAATATGATTTAATCAAAATATCTTACAATACCCCCACACTATTTCTATAGGATTATATTGACAATGGTATATGGGGGAAGTTTAGATTCGTATACACTATTTCTTATAACATAGTGTCAGTTACGTACGTTTACAGTGACACGGTTAAAGGTTTAATTTGTAGCCCAAAATTATGTTTGAGTGAACTATATGTCCAAGTCAGCATTGTTCAGAAATCTAACGGTGACATCGGTACTAAACCTGGAGGTTGGTGGTTTCTCTAGACAAATTGACATAACGCATTGTCCATCACGATAACATATTCAATTGAAAAAGTCATCAAGTTGGGCTTAATTTTTCTAAAACTGTGTGGAATGGCACAACTTTTTGGTAAAGTATGGATTAATAATATGCGTTAGTCGCTATGCCTGACTTCCTAAGATTTTTTTTCTTAATTGAGTACGGATTTTTCACTACTTTTAAATTAATACACCATAGACAGGTAGTTTTCGAACATTTTCTTATCACCTACGTCATCACTTGGAACTTTCTCAGTTTCTTCGTTGGTGCTCTAATAATGGAAAAATTTGCTTTGAAATTTAATGTACAGGGTGTTTCAGCTAAAACTCCGTGGCCTAATATCTTGAAGAGCGGATAGAGATATTGACATTCTGTAAACGCCACTGTTTTTGACTTTAAACGGGAAATTTACAGTACATTGTGGATATGACGCATATGTGGCGTGACCAACCTACATATTTTTTGACGTGTTTTGATAGACCATTAAATTGCGATTACAATGATGTATAGTTAGTTATTCATTTCATTAGTTGATAAAAAAATTGCAATTTATAAACATAAAAAAATTAAAGTTGTGTGAAATGAAGCAATTGCTCTGTATTTTATAATCAATAAGATCTCTTTCAAAAGTAGTTATTTTAACATATATTCGAACTGTCATAAAAAAATTTATATTTGTAAATTTAATTTTTTTTTAACTGAAAATGAAGTAAGTATGTATACGATTGTATCAAAATCCGTTAAAAAAATATACGTTGCAATTTAAAAAATATAAGTTTGCGTTGCGACGCCCACACCATATATTCAAGCTAAAAAAATGGCTTTTAAAGAATTTCAATATCTTTATCCGTTCTCAAGATATTAATCCGCGGAGTTTTAGGTGAGACACCCTATACATATCATAGATATGTATTATGAGATTCAGTCTAAAGATATCTTTTTATTTTGACATTCGAAATCATTTTGGAGATTAAAAAATTGTTCTAAAATAATTTTACTCACAACTTCCCTCGCCCCTCAAGTACAACCGAACAAATACAGCAAAATATCTTCATGATTTCACAGCATTCGGTTTTTCCAATTTCAAAGTTAAATTATAAAATATTATTATACAATGTTGATTTTTTTTTTCCAAAAATCTGGATACTAAGGGTAAAAGGGTAACACGGATTCATAAATTACACATACAGGAGTATGTTATTTTATAAAATTTAAAGAATATTTGTTCGGTAGAATTCTAAAATGACGTCATAATTTTTTGGGAAGACCTTAATCGAACAAATTTTGATTAACGATTTATAATCTTTCTTATAACCTTAAAACGTACGGAATATTTCAGATTCTAAATTACACGTACATGGAGTATGTAATTTTATAAAATTTAAGGATCATTTATTCTGCAAAATTATAAAATGGCGCCATCATTGTTAGGAGGCCATAAACGAAAAAAAAATTATGAACGATTTACTATGCTTACAATAATCTTAAAGAGCATGCAAGTTTTCAAAGTTAAGTTGTAAAATGTTGTTACACAATTTTGATTTTTTTCTCAAAAATCTGGATGTCTGGGGTGAAAACTCGACACAGATTCATGAATCACACTTACAGGAATATGCAGTCCTATAAAATTAAATACATATAATACCAAAAAAGGGGCAAATTAGTAGTAAGTAAAATGGTACTTTTCATCCCACATTTTGTTTTCTATTGAATGTAAGTAAGGTGCTTTATCTTTTTTTTTTTAAGAAAACAAGCCAATTTTGACGCTGAAAAAGTTTTTTTTTCATTTTTTTTGTAAAAATCTCAAAAGTCAGCAGTTTATAGAAACTGAGTAAATGGACAAATCTTCAAAAATACATGGCCGTCTTTGGTCTTTTTTTCCTCAATACATTCATTTAAGGAGTCACTGCCTTTGCCGCATGAAGTGTTCAATACATTTTCAGAGTATAATTAACGGATCTATATTATGAAATCGTAATCGTAATCACAGTATTTTTTAACAGTTCTTTTTAGAAATTTTTCATCACGTATTTTTAACAGTCACTATCTTAATTGCTTATAGAAATTTCGAAACACGGTTTTCATCACCGTTTTCAGCTTACAAAACTCTATAAGTTATAAAGAAAACGTTGTCATTTTTTTAATCGAAAATGAGAGTAAAAGAAGCTTGTATCAAAGGACTCATTTCCAACAAAAAAGCCGACAATATAGTGGTGAAAACCGCGTTCCGAAATTTCTTTAATTAATTCAGATATTGATCCATATAGATGGATGCGCTAGAATCATGGTCAAAATCTATAGAAATCCACTTTCTAAAAAATAATCTTAAAAATTGCGTGAAATATAAAAAATTAAAAAAAACTTCACGTCAAATATTGGCTTTTTTATTTTATAAAAAAGCAATTAAAGCTTCAACGTCAAAATTGACGTGTTTGCTTAAAAAAATGACACAGTAGCTTAAAATAAATGAAAAAAAAAATATGTGGTGAAACGTACGATTTTACTTTCTACTCATTTCAATTTAGAAATTTCTTTTTGAAATATTTGGTCAATATAAATTAAGGAAAAATTCGGAAAATTCTAAAATGATGTTATTATTGTTTTAGAGGATCATTAATAATTTACCACGGTTACGATAACCTTGAAACGTTTGCAAAATTTCAAAGCATTCGGTTTTGCAGTTTCAAAGTTAAATCTGGTTAAATTGCAAGATGTTGCAACTTTGATTTTTTCTCCAAAAATCTGAATATCTAGTATAAAAACTTAACACGGGTTCATAAACCACATGTTAAGAGGTATCTTATTTTTTAAAATTTAAATAATAAATTTTGGGGATGACGTCAACAAATTGTTGGTAGGGATGATTAGCCAAATTTTGCTTAGCATTTTACCATCTACACGATATACGGCCGTAATCAACATATAAAATTTGACAGTTCAGTAGTTTCGAAGATTATCTGTCTAATAAAAATGCAGACAGACAGGAGAGAGACAGAGAGGCAGACAGGCAGGCAGACGGAAACGGGAAACCTAGTGTTTCGTACTGAATTTACACTGTAAAAAGATCTCCTCTAATATTTACATAATTAATTAGTTTTTTTTGCGTCTATTATATTTTTAGGAATATTTATTGCATTTGTAATTGTAACAACCTGGATATGCGAAAAATGTAAATAATTCTAAAAAAAAAAGAATTAAACTGTTTAAGACCGCTAATTATGGACGATACAATTTATTCAATTTTAGTTTTGTCACTTTACCGTCAATTGTTAAGTTTTAGTTCAAAAACGCTTTTGGTTGAACAAAAAATATTTTTACTCCGGTCATATCTACTTCAGAAATGGACAAATTTTCAAAAATACATGGCTCTCTTTGGTCGTTTGATCTATTATTATGAAATTTTTAATATGACCTCTCTCCAAACGTTGTCGACTTTTTTTTTATCGAAAATGAGAGTAGAAGAAGCTTGTATCCAAGAACTAATTTCCAACAAAAAAGTCGATAATATTTCGCCTGTTACTTATAGAATTTTATTGGCTGAAGCAGTGGTGAAAACCGCGTTCCGAAATTCCCATAAATAATTCAGATATTGATTTTTAAAATTACGCTATGCAAAGATCACACCAAAATTAAAAAAGATTATTATAAACTGTTAAAAAAAATTCGATTGGGTTATATCGAGAAAGTTGTGGACGGGTTATATCTAAAATTTCAAAATAAGTCTGTGTAGTAGTGGAAATGGGGATATTACTTTCTGAAAATGTATTCAACACCTTGTAAGAGCCCAAAGTAGATACATTTTACCTTTTATTAAGCGTTCATCAACTTAAGTGCAGCTTAAAAATTTTAACACTAACCAAAACATTGCTGTGTGCCAGAAGAGCATTGTAAGTAAAATTTTACTTCTACATATTAATGTTGGCTGATTTTAATTATAACGGGTGTCTCTTTTATTTGTTACAACCCCTGTAACTCTTTTATTCTTAAAAATAAACATGTAGTTCTTTGAGCAAATTTGCATTATTTGAAAAGATCTATGTGATGGAAACAATTTTTCAACTGTTTTTCAAGCAACTAGATTTTGAATTAAATGGACAATTTTTGAGATATTTTACTAAATAACTTTTTTATTATTGATTTTAAATATTGGTTGTTTTTTGTGGTTAACCTCACATAGATCCTTTAAAATGGTACAAATTTGTCACATAACTATAGGTTTATCTTTAAGAATAAAAAAGTTGCAGGGGTAAAATAAAAAAAAATAAAAGAAACACCCTATATGTATTTCAATTAATTAAAAGCGCAATTAACATTAATCACAGAGTGCAGGAGGAAATATTTTTTTAATGACGCTAAAATTTACTCGATATTATTATTAAAAAAAAAAAGTGGTAATTCGTTCAATGGACTCGATTACAATACTTCCTTCGCTTACGCTCGGGAAGTAAAAAGTCACGTTGACCTCAGAAACAATCAGCATAAGAATTTAAATACTTTTGTCCTCTACCCCGAATATTTCTCATTTTCTTATTAAAATCATAGTATTTAATAAAATGTATGTATAGGATCCAGTGAATTACCCGGTTTCAAAGAAATTCGTTGTATTCTTACTGACATAACGTGGAAAATTTCTTATACATTGTACTTCCCAAGCGTAAACTAAGGAAGTATAGTAATCGAGTCCATCGGCCGAATTGCCACTTTTATATTTTCTCGACGTGTACGAAAAAAAATGGTCTCCCGTTTCCGTCTGTCTGTCTGTCTAGCGTCTGTATCCATTTTTATTAGACCAGTAACCTCTGGACCAAGGTTAGTTAATAGAGAACAGGTTACCACATAAACGAGTATGTGGGCAAAATCGCTTACGGGGGAGGAGAGGTGTCAGCCCCATGTGACGTCAAAATGAGGTTCGTATTACTTGGGAATTTTTAGTAACTTGTAATTTTGAGTTGGTGTGACCGATCAGCTGATGCCTGTAATCTGTACGATCTGTACCGCTAATTCTGACGTTTGGTGTTAGTACTGCGACTCGTGTAACCCTATTTTGCCTCGTGTTTTATATACGAAGAAATCACAAGGGCTTTTTTAAAACAGAGAACTTTAATTAGAATTAAATATTTAAATAATAAATCTGAACATAAACAAAAGTATAAAAAATTAGATAAAACTGATGTCGTATGTAAATAAAAATTATTATAAAATTTTATGTATTTTTACTTACCAGTAGTGTTAATGTTTAGTTGTAATATTTTCACAAGTTTAATATTACAGTGAATTAAAGTGGTGTTTACCTAACAAAAAAAAAATATTTGTGTTTAAGCTAAAATGAAATGTTTTGATATATTACTAGAAAGGAAAAAGTAAACCAGTATATAAATGCAGATTTTCAGATTTTTTTGCATAAAAAAAAATCAGTTAATAGTGTCGCATTTGCTATTTTCAAGTTCTACTGACAGCAAAACATTTTTCTTGAGGTTTATTAAATTGTTCTTTACACAGGATCACGGTTGTAGAATAGATAGGTTTGTACACTAATGGCTTGGGATGGCGACGCTTTTTTTCGATCCCTATATCCATGGAAAGGACACAGACAGCTAGCGCCTCTACCTTGTCGAGCGGAAATCGTTCTAGTTATTTTAGGGATTTTGGTTTACATTGCTTTATGAACAATACAAAATTTGTAAATGACATTTGATCGGAGTCGATAAATACGATTTCTTTTATTAATTACATCGGTTATAGACAGATGCCTATAGAGTTCTGTGTCCCTAAAACGTCAAAAACCAGGCGACGCGATCGGCAATTGGCGTCGCTGACCAGGGATATGCAAATGTATGCTAGTGTATCAACCTATCTATTCTACAACCGTGCACAGGATCACGGTTGTAGAATAGATAGGTTTGTACACTAATGGCTTGGGGTGGCGACGCTTCTTTTCGATCCCTATATCCATGGAAAGGACACATACAGCTAGCGCCTCTACCTTGTTGAGCGGAAATCGTTCTAGTTATTTTGGGGATTTTCGTTTATATTGCTTTATGAACAATACAAAATTTGTAAATGACATTTTTCGGAGTCGATAAGTAGGATTTCTTTTATTAATTACATCGGTTATAGACAGATGCCTATAGAGTTCTGTGTCCCTAAAACGTCAAAAAACAGGCGACGCGATCGGCAATTGGCGTCGCTGACCAGGGATATGCAAATGTATGCTAGTGTATCAACCTATCTATTCTACAACCGTGCACAGGATTGAAATTTGCGAAGTAGAAGCGGTCACTTGATTAAAAGTTTCCGTTTTTAGTGCGTTACTCGAGTATTTAAAACGGGCAATTTTCGCGCCATTTGAGAGCCCCTTGTGACGTATCAAAATGGCATCCCAATGTGGCAACCTTATCTATTAAATGACTTTGCCTCTGGACTAAAATTTCGCTTATCATCCCCGCCACCAATGGAATGACGTCATCTCCAAAATTTGTAATAAACTTGTGCACTTGTGGTGTGCGAATCCGTGTCTAGACATCCAGTGGGGTGCGATTTTGTTTCTCGATCGAAGTGATAAATTATCACTTGCGATAAATGTCATTGCGTTGCTTTTAAATGCAAAAGTTTGCATTTATTCTTTGCATATAAGCTTATTAAATGCTCAAAAGTTTACAAGTACCTTAATTTTAAGAACTTATAACTCAGAATTACGATTTTGAACTTTTATTTTGACATAAATTTCGAGGTTATGTCTCCAAAATTTATCACTTTACACAGAGCTATCGAGAAAATATCACTCCATGAAGACTTGATTTCGTGACAGAATCGAGAAATGTGACAGAAATGTAGCATCTCAACCAATCAGCAAACGAGATTTTATCGCTTTCGAGTTCTTTTCGATCGAGAAACAAAATCGCACCTCTCAGAACTTTTGGAAAAAATCAAAACTGAATAACAATATTTTGCAACATAACTTTGAAATTGCAAAACTGATTACTCTGAAATTTTGTAAATATTTTAAGGTTATCGTAATCATGGTAAATCCTTCAGCAAAATTTATTCGTTTGTCCCCTCCCAAAAAATTGATGACGTCATCTCAAAATTTTGTCGAATAAATCCTAACCAAAAAGTGCAAAATATGATGAGCCTATACTTGTGATTTATCATTGCACTAAAAGTTTCTAAATTTCTGATACTCACTCCGTCTACCCGAAAATTTTGGAATAAAATACTTTTATCATTAGTATTACACTGCACCTATCCAAAGTGATATAAGTGTCTTTGCAAAAAATGTTGATGACGTGATCACAAAATTTTGTTAAAGAAAAACTCATTTGGATCGTACGCCCAGCGTACATATCTTTATTTTCACTTATAAGGGTTTTCATAAAAAAATTAAATGGCAAAATTAAATTTTATAATTTTTCGAAAAATCTGGGTTTGTTTTATTGTATTTCAGGAGTAAGGGAAGTTCTATCGAAAGAACCTTCGATCAATTTTTTTACCTATTGTAATCGAGTCCATCGGGCGACTGGCTACTTTCATGTTTTGTCGACGTTTTATAACTCCTAGCGTACGAAAAAGTGTACTTCCGTTTCCATCTGTCTATCGTTGTGATGGCGTCATAATTTTTTAGGGAATAAAGACATTATTCTTGTACGCACAGTACAACATTAATTAACAGTTTTGTACTCTTTTAGTAAAGAAAGAAAAATAAAAAACCTCAGTTGTGACCCATTTATTTGCAAAAAACTAAAATTCGCTCCTTCCTTTGCCTTTTCACGCCAAGTATTTGGTCCGCTAGTTGCAATTTTACACCAAATTTTCCTGGACTATTTCAATAAACCCCCACTAATTTATTGTACTGTGAACAGACTCAAGAAGACCCCGAAGTGCTACGGTCACTAATCGGCCCCCTCGAGGACCAAATCCAAGCTCTTAAAGAAAAATTAAGAGCAACCGATGAGCAACTCCAGAAATGTCGGGAATGCGGTCACCGGGAGCAAGACCGCCACGACCATAACGTATCAACCAACACCTCCTTCGACTCCCCAAAACATGCGACTTCATGTGATATGTGCAGCAACTATGAAGACCAACTCGTTGCCGAGCAGAAGAAAACCACCGATCTTGAAGCCAAAGTACAAATGGCGGACAAAGCCGCCGAAAGACACAAAGAAGACTTACTGAAAGAAATCGGTTTTAGAAAAGAAATGGAAGAAAAGTGGAACGAGAAGAAAGAAGAGCACAAACAACAAGTCGCCGAATTGACGAGGAGCACGGAGTGCGCCGAGCAAGACTTGAAGGAGTTGAGGCAGATGTTTCAGCAGACGTGTAGTGAAATGAACGAGATGCTGAAACGACTAACGAAAGGGAGGGAGAAAATTCAGGAGGAGCTGACTGCGTTGCAAAAAGAAAACGATAATTTGGTTGGGAAGTACACCATCCATTCCCAGGAGTTGCAAAGCGAGGCCATCAATCTGCCTAACACTGTGGAGGAATTACACGAACTGGTTTTAAAGCACCACCAGGACTTGATCATCGCGAAAATTGGTAAAGAAGCGGCGGAGGAAAAAGTGAATACGTTGCAGTCGGATATTTTGTTGCTGAGAGACCAAATCACGAACGATCAACATGAAAAAGAATTGATTGAAAATAATTTGGCTCAAGAGATTGATTTATTGAAGTGAGTGTCAGTGTCAGGGTGTTACTTGTTTTATTTGTAGTTTGTTACAGGAAACAAAAGCACCAATTAGAAAAAGAAAAGAAACTTTATTTAGCAAATCAAGAGAAACTAGAGAATTCGGAAAAAGCCAATTTGGTCAAAATTGAAGAATTACAAAAACAAATACATGATGTGCTTACAATCAAAGTAAGTAAAACTGTGTCCAAGATATTGTATTTAAACTAAGAAAAACTAAATACACGTAAGAGGGTGATTTTATGAAAAAATACAACTTCCAACTTATTATTTAAAATAAAAATTGAAAAATATGTTTACAGAAACATTTGGAGGAGCAGAACAGCGAACTGCGGACTCGCGTGTCGTCTCTTCAACAAGAACTTGACACAAGTGAAACCGTCCAGAAAGATTTTGTAAGACTGTCGCAGAGTCTACAGGTACTACTTGCAAATGTCGCTTTGCACACCTCACACTTTAATTTCAGGTCCAACTGGAAAAAATTCGGGAGTCAGATACCCAGGTTAGATGGCAACACGAAGAAGACGTAAAAAACTGTCCAAGTTGCCATTCAGAATTCGCCGGGTCTAAACGCAAGGAACACTGCAAGCACTGCGGCCAGATTTTCTGCCAGAGCTGTTTGACTCGAACTGTGGAAAGTGGGGCTAGTATGCTTCCATCAAGAGTTTGTGATGTATGTCATACCTTACTAGTCAAATCCTCTGCACCTTACTTTAGTGAAGCTCCACCCATGACTTGATGAGGGGGCACTTTCAGAAATATTCAAATGTTAACTAATTTTATTACTGTATTCCAAACGTATAGTCTATGAACTTCGAAAATATTTTAAAAAATGAAAAATTATGATTTATGAAAATAATTTAATGAAATAGTTGAAATTATGAAACAAAAAATAAATACGTCTTCGTGCACTTGCCTCAGTTTCTTCTCTTCTTCCTAAAAAAAATGAAGAGTAAAAATTACATCACTTGTGATTTATGCAACTCACTCTCTCAGTGTTTCCTCTTTTAAGTTTGTGGGTCGTGCACGACGTGCAAGTCTTGGATGTCTTCGTGGAGATACTTCAGGGATGGACTTTTTTCTTTTAGCTTTAGTTTTCTTTGCAGGGGTATTCAATTGTCTTTTTCTGTTCTTTGTAAGAGAATTTTCTTTTTGTGGAGTTAATGATTTTCTTTCTTTTTCTAAAGTCGCCTTTTTCCCTTTTTGTAGGTATATTGATTTTTCTTTTTTTAGGGATATTGAATTTTCCTTATAGGAACTGCTAACACTTCTGCTTGGAGAATCATTCACTTTACTGTCTCTGTTACTCCCTAAACTAATTTTTTCCTTCTTTGGTGATAGTAAGGTGTTGCTTGAACTAGGCTTACTACCGCTACTAGTACAACTTCTTGTTATTTTTTTCCTAGGATTGACAAACTGGTACAAATTATTCTCGCAATTTCCGAATCTGCAATAAATGAAACAGTGATTATGTTGTGCACAAAAATAAGTAGTACTTTGGTGTGTAGATCAAATCCAACCTGAAAAAGAACAGTTAGTGTAAGTGTATTTAAAGTGTACGTACATATACTTTCTCATTGTATCTATTTTTAAGGGTGTTGAAGCAAAAGCTGGATCATTTAAAAGGTCTCCCTGAAACTTATTCATTATTCCAGGACTAGGAAATTTTAATTAACATACATCAACATTAATTGAAGAATTATTTGAAAGTGGCGTATTCTTTTTTTTACCTAGATGGCTTTCCAACAATTCAGCTGGAAGTCTTTCCATCTTAACAAGCAGCTCTTGAGCCTTACTACTTTCTTCCATAATGGTTGAAAGTCTACAAATTAATAGTTAATATTGAAAAAAAAAAAAGGTCAAATATATTCAAACTCTTCTGGTATAGAACGAATTCCGGTATTTGAAACCTCCACGTCATGGTCCTCATTGTCAGCTTCTGGAAATTGTAGTTAATTTAAAAATTACATTAGAGTTATGCACAATACCAATTTGCTCAAATTCCTTCATATTCAAGGGTTCTATATGCAGCTTACGCACTTTGATGGTTCTCACATGACTACTTGAACTAGTAGATGACGTAACTATCCCAGAAGGCCCTGCCTTGGGACTACCAGTCCCGAAATTCTCAATATCTGCATGTTCCACGTCCAAATTACGCGAAGCGGCACTTTTCATCAACTGTACTGAAAATTCATCTTTGGGGTTGTTATATCTCAGAGGGATACCTGTCCTTTGTGATACTGGGCTGTTAATCACTAAAATTTAAATTTGAATAATGAGAATATGTATGGCATCATATCATGGAAACAGATAGAAATGTAGAAACTCTGTTAACGCCACTGCTTTTAGCTTGACGAGGGAAACTTAACTGTCAAAAACAATAAAAAATTTATGTTGCAATTAGAATGTACTAAATTAAGCTTGCCCCTTCAAGCTATAAGCGGATTCCTATCAAGAACGCCTGAATTGTGCATATACATACTTGAAACTCGGCTCAACTGTAGCGCACATTTAGCATTGTCAAACAGCTGGTTGCACACTTTAGCATTTTTCTCGAGTAAGTCTGTCAAATTAAGCAACTTTTTTCTCATACACTACAAAAACAAACATTTACACAAAATTTCAACAAATGCACCAACAACACACTTTGTATTTCTGCTTATATGATGAATTATCGGTCTGAATGTAACTAATGATCTTCTTTAGCTCTACATTCTTGTTTTTTAACTCGGCCAACGCTTCTTGGAGTTCGTCAGTGTTTTGCAACACCACTAGAAAAAATGTGAAGAGAAATAAACTCTAAAATTTATACGCACCTCTGTCGTCACCATTGTCACCCATATTTGTTGCAGTCCAATTAAAAAGTCGGCATTTTTTTCAAATCAGCGGTTTTATTGATAACAACAAAACAGTAACCTTCGGGAAAAATCAGCAACATGTCTTCGCAAACGCAAACACTCCCCAAATGTCAAAGTGTCGTTGTCCTGATTGACCAAAAATCCCTGTTGAAATAACCGTTGTGATTGAGGCGCGGAATTTGAACTAAATGAGTGAACGGATGAATTCAGCCGTTAAAAGTCGTTCATTACGTTAAATTAATAACTATGTAGACAGCCATAAACAGATCGTTGTTTACTATTTAGCTAATTATATTTTTAAATTGAATTAAAAATGTTCCGTAAGCATTACCGAAAATACTTATGACAGGTAATGACATCCTTCTCAAAATATGCACTTTGGCCTCTAATAAAAATAATTTAATTAGTGTGAACAGCAAAATTAACTAAACAGACGAACAATCAGTGTAATGGCGAAAGTGTTCTTAACATTTTGAAACTTTTTTTGTGACTGCGTTAATTGAATTTATTTTAATATTTAAAGTGTTTAAAATTAAAGGCGCCAAATCTCTTGTCAACTTGATTTAATTCCACCATTTTTAACATTTTCCGGTGCAAGTTTCGACGTACGAACTGAGGGTTGTGCCAGGTGTCGCTTGAAACTTTAAAGTGTCCGACAAAGATAGCAAGAGGACTTATGTGTGAGATCAGTCCACCATCTAGAATTGTGAACTACACGCGGGCGAAATGGTACGGTTCGTCGGTCTATCTTGAAGATATTAGAATGGCAATTTCCCAAAGAAAATGCTAATTGAATTTTATTGATTTTCTTAAAATAGGTATGTGTAAATTTCGCAATTTTCCGGTGAATTTTTCACGTATTGTTGGCGGAAATTCAACTGTAAGGAATTTAAAGGTACGTGCACACTTGTAAAAACACCATTTTGGATTTAATTTTAAATCATTCCGGTGAGAGTTTTTAAGAAATAGTCGTTTTCATGAGATAAACCTCCCATTTTTTTCGTACGTATTTCCTCTCTTCACGCTATTGTAGGTTATGTTAATTTTTTTCCCTTTGCTTATTTGTAGTTGTAGCCTTGCCATGGGAGATTGCCATTTAAATTACAACAACCCCACTTGCGAGGAAAAATTCTGTAAATATTCATACTCGAGCTGGTGTCCTACTTGCGAGAGGAACTCGCCGAGGCGTCGATCGAAAAGCGAGACCAACAATGAGTGCCGAAGAAAATGCAGAGAAATGAAAACTCTCTCCCCAAAAAAATACACTCGCAGCCAGGAGTACGAAAATATGGATTTGGAGCTCGACTACGACTCGAGGGAATTCTGGTATGAAGCGCCAAAGGAGAATTATCGCCACATTCGATCAAACCAGCTGTGCGAATTGCCAACTTCTTACATCACGAACAATTGCCAAACTTCAAAATTATTACCAACTGAGTATGCCGATAAAAATGTCAAAAATTATGATCCACCACTGAAGATGAAACAGGAAGACTTGTTCGAGGTCCTGAAGTATGAAAAGGCTAAGCACCTGAATGGTTTTGCGAAAAAGTCGCAATCCAGAGAAGCGGCCAAACAACCGTACAATTATTATGACAATCATTTAAGTTTCGATACGAGCACTTATTTTGATAAAATTCGCGATGCTTCGTCGTTGCATGAACGGTATTTAAAGGAAATTGAATCTGTGCGTGAACGAATAGCTTTATGGAAAAATTGCAAGAAAGTTGATGTAGAGGGTAGAAATCAAGTAAAGTGTGTTTCGTTTTATGCTGATAGCACTTCCAAAGTCATAGAGGTTAATAGCAGACTGCAGCATAATCAAGCTAAGGGGGTTGAGGTGATCAAAAAGGCAGATCACTTTAAAAGTGCCAACTCAAAGTCTGTTAATGATATCATTTGCATCAGTCAGAGCGAAATTGGCCCAAGGCCCAAGAAAATTGCCATTAAAACGAAAAAGGCGAATATTAACAAGATTAAGAAAATTCCCTCCAGTAAGATTTTGTCAAGTGCTAGCCAAATTTCGGAGTTTGTGGAGAGGTAAGATAATAAAATTGTGTAGTAAATCTTAATATAAATGTATCTTTATAGCGACAGATTTATTAACCACAGGGAGCCCACTTGTTTGCTTTTTTTCCACAAATGGTTACTACTTTTGAAATTCTTCCTATTTCACAAAGAAATCGCCCAAATTTACCTTTTATTAGAAAATTAGTAATCATTTTAAAATAAGTTTTTTGTCAGAAAATCAATAATAATTGTAAAACAGTGTTTTCATTCAGTGTAAAAATAGTTAAATAATACAGATTTAAACCTTTTAAAACTCAAAATTAAACATTCTGTTCATAAAATAGTAAAAATTTAGGTATCACCCAGCCTATTAAAAATAACAATAATTTGGAAGTTTAAAAAGCTGAAAAGTGGTTTCCCAAAATTTTGTTAGTACTCTCATGGATTTTTTTTATTTTCATGGATTTTTTTAACATGATTTAAATCTTGTACTAGAAAGAACACATTTTTAAACTTTTATGAGAATGAAATTCTGAAAAAAATTGTTTGCTTTGAAAAAAAAAAATTTCTGGAAAAGATGCCTAAAGACTTTCAAAAAATTTTGGAATATAGATAGATCTCGACGAGTTGATTCGAAAAACATAGTGTCCTGTACCTAGATTTTCGAAAAACATTAAGTTGCAAATTCTTTTTCTGTTTTCTAACAAAAGTTTTTTTTCACGATTTCATTCTTATAAAAATTTAAAAATTATTTACCTAAAATGTTTAAAATAAAGTTGTTTCTAACACAAAGTTTTTAACAAACTTAAATCGTTATAATAAAAAAAAGTATGAAAATTTCAAAATGTTCCATGTTTTTGTCCAAAAAATATTTCAGATTTTTGTAGTGCATTAGTGTTATGTCAGACAATACAACTTCTTTTTATTTAAATTACTATGGAAAATTTGTTGCGTGGGCTCCCTGCAATTATCTCTTCAATAACAGATTACTCTCTTCAATAACAGATTACTGACTGTTCTATCTATTAAGCATACTAGGAAAAATATTGTTTTTTTTTTTTATTTTTTCATAACATAAAAATTTCAAAAATTTACTGAATCCATTTTGTAAAAAAATAATCACTAACAAAATTGAAAGGGCTGATGCTATCTTGATTATTTTAGCCTAAAGATTTTTCTCATAAATAAATGCCAATTTTAAAACAGATTTTTTTTAAGCTCTTGACTAAAAATTAGATGCAATCAAATTTTTGACCGCTGTAACTCTCCTGTAAACTGAAGTATGTTAGAAGTTAAATTAAAATTAAAAGGAAAATTTCGCAAATTAACTTGTTGTCTATTTTCACCCGAGTAATGAGTATTAATAATTTATTGAGATGTTTTCGTAGTATTTTATAATTCGTAGGAAAAAATAAAAAAAATAAGCAGCCATTAGGAGCAATTCTGTAAAAAATAAGATTTTGTCAAATGGTATCCAAATTTGGGAGTTTGTGGAGAGGTAATATAACAAAATTTTGTAGTAACTCTTAATATAAATCTACCTTTATAATCACAGATTTATTAACCACAGGGAGCCCACATGTTTGCTTTTTCCCACAAATGGTTAATACTTTTGAAATTCTTCCTATTTTACAAAGAAATCGCGTAAATTACCTTTTGTTAGAAAATCAATAATAATTGTCATTCTGTGTAAAAGCAGTTAAATAATACAAATTTGAACCATTAATTAAGATATTAAATATAATTTTTTGACACTCAAAATTAGAAGTTTTGTTCATAAAATAGTGCAAATGTAGGTATCAAGCTGTCGATTAAAAAAATAATAATTTGAAAGTCTAAAAGGCTTAAAAGTGTTATCATTTAAACGACTAAAAAATCGATGATGTCCTAAAATTTTGTCAGTGCACTCCAAATATACACTCATGGATTTTTTTTATTTTCATATATTTTTTAACAGCGATTTATAGTATATTAAAGAACGAGTTTCATAAGGCAAATATTGAGGCACGAATCCAAGTTTATAGAACGAGCGGCGAAGCCGCGAGTTATATAAAGGATGAGTGCCTCAATGGCCTTATGAACGAGTTATTTATACAATTTTTTCTACCGCACACGTTTTTTCCCAAAATTTAATTGAAATTTGCATTTTTTTAATCTGGGGACTTTTGTCGTGGTTGGTGATGGGTTGGTCTGACACAGAGACTTTAAATATGTATATATTTGAAGTCTTTGGTTTGATACTAACCACGAAATATTTGAGGTTCGAATTTTCACAACAACAACTGTAATTCGAATCAATTCGAGTTTTTGTAATTTAAAATTGGTTAAAATGTCTTGTGAAGAAGTTACGCGTCCGGAAATATGGGAAATTTTAAGTTTACATTTGCCACTGACATTCACCTGACATTTCTCGTCATGGCTACCAATCTTACCGATCTAAATTACACCAGATCTATTAAAGAACGCCTTTCCGCTATTAACGAACTGCTGTGACGTCATTTGCGTGCGTTAATAGCTCTATTAGAAAACCAAAAAATGTGGGCGGTAGAAAAAATCTTTTATAGTAGAAAGAACATTTTATTTTAAACATTTTAGGTAAATAATTTTTAAATTTTTATGAGAATGAAATACAGAAAAAAATTTTGTTTTGAAAAAAAATAGATTTCTGAAAAAATTGTTTAAAACTCTCAAAAAATTTTGGGATATAGATAGGTCTCGACGAGTTGATTGGCAAAATATAAAGTGTTCTGAACCAAAATTTTCGATAAACAGTAAGTTTCAAATTCTTTTTCTGTTTTCATAGCATAAAAGTTTTTTTTCACGATTTCATTCTTATAAAAATTTAAAAATTATTCACCTAAAATGGTTTAAATAAAGTTCCTTCTAACACAAAGTGTTTAAGTAACTTAAATGGTTATAATGAAAAAAGTATGAAAATTTCAAAATGTTCCATATTTTTGTAGTGCATTAGTGTTATAATGTCAGACAATACAACTTCTTTTTATTCAAATTACTATGGAACATTTGTTGAGTGGGCTCCCTGCAATTATCTCTTCAATAACAGATTACTGTTTTATCGATTAAGCATACTAGCAAAAATAATGTTTTTTTATTTTTTCATAACAAAAATTTCAAATATTCGCTGAATCCATTTTTAAAAAAACAATGACTAACAAAATTTGAAAGGGCTGTTACTATCTTGATTATTTTAGCCTAAAGATTTTTCTCATAAATAAAATAAATACCAACAATTGATATCCAATTTTAAAACAGTTTTTTTTTTTAACTCTTGACTCAAAATTAGACGCAATCAAATTTTTGGCCACTGTACGTCTCCTGTAAACTGAAGTATGTTAGAAAATTAAATTAAAATTAAAAAGGAAAATTTCGCAACTTAACTTGTTCTCTATTTTGATGCGAGTAATGAGTATTAACAATTTATTCAGATGTTTTCGTGGTATTTTATAATTCGTAGGAAAAAACAAAAAATTAACCAGCCATTACCCGAAAATTTTAAATGTGGCTTAAAATATATGCTGTATTTTACAGGCGAGAAATATTCCTGATTTACAGTCGAATTTCGATGTTACGATTTATTTATGTGCGAAATAATAATGCGTAATTGCGCAATTAAGATTTTTATTAAATTTTGGTGAAATTTAATTACTTAATCACAGAATGATTTTGAAGTAATAAATTATTATTATATTACCTATATATTATAATTATTAAAGTTGAGAAATAGAATAAATTCATTGCAGTATTATTATTTTTTCTTCCATTAAAAGCGGTTGTAAATATCTTGCAATAATTTTTCTAAGCTTTAATAACCTCATTTTTCTTTTGTGAATTTTAAAAAACTCCATGCTGTATTATTACACTTGAAAGTTTCATTTTTTTGTCTGCGTAAAATATTACGTTTTAATGTTGAAACACCCTGTATCTTTGTTACCTCGCCGAGAGTGTTATTTATACCCCGCCTATTCATGCCCAGCGCACTAAAATTATTAATTATTGCACATCGTGACATCCGGTCATGTTTCACTAGTCAATAAAAAAAGTTCATAAATTAGCCGAAAGTGTCCGTTTTGGCGAAAAACTCTGGCACCATTACCGAATTTTGAAATTCGGTTTTGGGTTGCATGCTATTACAGGAAAGTTGCCAGACTATTAAGTGAGTGATTTATAATTCCCACTTAATTTGAGCTCTTTGTCTATAGAATGTCTATTTTTAAATTCTTCTATTAGTCATTTTGTGCGAATGTTTGGGATAGTTTGGCGTCGACTTTTCCAAATAGTTTTCCGTGGAGCGCTGAAATGATTTAATCTTGTTGATGGCCGCCAGTGACTACAGCGGTTCAGATGAGAGCGAACCGGAGCTAGCTGAAGAAGTCAATGGCGACGACGAGTCGGAAAGCCTCAGTGAGGCAACGTGTGTTCCAGACGCCGACGCCGAAAATGCCGTTCTACAATCGGAGTTGGGTAAGTACTATTTTAACACAAATTTATAATTAAAAGGAAGTCTGCTCCAATTTCATTGACTCATTAACATCAGAATTCACAGAACTTTTGAAAAAAGAAGCAAATCATTATTTTATAAAATTAAATCAAAAATTGATTTTCTTCTTTGATTTTAAAGTGGAGGTTAGATTGTAGTTTTAATTTTAATTCCCAAATAATACAGAGAATCCAAACATGTACAACTCTTTGCACAAAACTTGCTTTTTGATAAAATACTAGCATTCGTTGAAGATGACGAAACTATATCCATAATTTATTTATTAACCGTATAGGTATAGCAAGGTGATAATCATAGCTAGTCGTAAGATTTTTTTTTAAATACTGTGTATTTTTTTAAATTATTTCCACAGAAAAAGTTCGTTTATTTGTGTCACATTTGACAACACATAAATTGGTGATTCTTATCCAGTTGGCCATGACGTGTACGTCAGCAGTGCAATTGAAACGGCTGGCGTAAGCTTCACGGCCAACTAGAGCAGAAATTTAAAAAATCACCCGATATATACCAAAATCAGTGTATTTGTCACCAAAAATTAAAAAATCGTTAAACGGATCTTGACAAAATTGCATTAGTTTTTTGGAATTGTTTTCATGGCATCAGATTACTGATTTTTTTTTTGTTAAATTAATAAAGTATACGCATTCCTGGAAATTTTCAGTACCATCCGACTGCTCATATCGTAAATCTATTGTACTCCTTGACAGAATTATTTTCGGTATTACACTTGTTTAAAGGAATTTATTTGCACACGCTCCACTTATTGAAATCGACCAGAGCTTTTTCGAAATTATTAATCTTCTTTGATACCATACTCTGAGAAAGTAATGTTAGAATTTGGTTAGTCTTGGGAATATTTTGGAAATATTCAAAACTGGAAGAAAAACTTTGTTTTATTGCAAAAAATGGAACAGATATCCCACTTGTCATTGACAGAAGGATAAACGATAATACCAACCCATATCGATAATCATAAAAAAAACACTAAATTTTTGCCGGACTGTTTTTTGGTTTCTGGTCGTTAAGAGACGAATCGAAAACCAGTGATGCGGGTCAGAGGTACAAAAACTAGGGGTAAGAGTTCATTTGAATTTTTTAGCAAGCTAATTTTTCTTGATATTTTAAAAAGGTACAACGTTGATTTTTGCACTTTATATTAGATATCGTTTTAACTCCATTGAGACAACTTAAAATAATAAAAAAGTAAGAGAGCATATATGTATGTTTTCAATTTTTTGGCAATACTACTTTCGGATTTAAAAATTTTTTTTCAATGATTTCATTTGGATGGGTGACAACACTCATGAATACGATTCCCATTAAAAAATGTTGGCATTTAACAAAACGTTTTTCGTGGAACAGTACATTCACATAAAGTTTATATAACAAAAAAGTTATAAGATATTATTAGATTGTCTTTTGGCGTACAAGACAAAAATGTAGCCTATTACTTTAAAAATAACTAACTTTTTCCGCTGGTTTTCATTTTATTTTCTTTTTTTGCCTTAATTATATTCCCAAGAAATGTCAGTTATAGCTAAAGAATCAAAAAATAAAATATGTGTCCGCATATGATTTATTAAACTTTAAAACTAATAATATCATCGCTATAAATAGCTTCGTGACAAAAAGTTTATCCAACTTTCAATTAAATAAATAATAAATTTAAATGTTTTGATCATTTACGTAATAAAAAGTGAATTGAGGAATACAGTAAAAATATCTTTTTTATGTAAAGATTTGAATTAATAAACGAAATAAAATTTTACCGCATTTCAGATCGTTAATAAATTAATTTTGTGTATTATTCTCTGAGTTTAGCTATAAATTTAATGTAATTTTTTCATGACAGTTAAAATAAAAATGAATTAATAACCACAAGTAGAACAACGGTTGCCTTATACATTTTAAGTGAAATTTACTAGATAAAATTTTGCAATGACGTCATCAATTTTTTCGAATGGATACCATTACAGTATACTAAAAATTTCAACTAAACCATGTGGTAGCATTTTCGTATTCTGTGAGGTGTGAAATGTCGAGCAAACGTAAAATTAAACATTACAGGGAGTAACAAAAAATTGGTAAATAAATATAAATGGACTATTATTCATCTAAAATGCAGCATTCCTTCGCAAACAAAATGCGTTTAATCCTCTGGAATGAGAAACTTTCCATTATCATTTCGTGCACTAGTTTTAAAAATAACCGTGTTTCTCGCACTTTCCTGTTTATGCCAAAAACTGCAAAGTAAACCAGTTTGCAGAAATATGGCATAACATTGCTTTAAATAAGAAACGAAAAATGATTATCTTTTGAGCAAAAATATAAACGTTATAAATTGTAAAATATGCTGATGCAGTTTATTTTTAATTGGTGTAATTGGAAGAAATAACAATAAAAAGAAATTTGCCCGTATAAGTTCTGTGCATATTTGTCTAGCGAATAGTCAGATACCGTTAGTTTTTGTTTTTGAAAGATTTTATTTCATTTATTTTATTGCAAGTCACCGAAACTCGTCATCTACAATGAATCTTGAAAGTTACGACTCAAGTATTGTTTAGAATTATTACTAATTCTACAAACATTAAAAATTCCTACATATTAATCTAATAAGTCTAGACAGCATAGATAACATATAAGATGTCATAGTGTATTTAAAAAGAAAATATTTTATAGTCAAATATTCATGTCAAAATCGTAACTACAGTTTAGTACTTAAATAACAGCAGAGTGATTTTAATTAAATTTTATCTCGTAAAATACACAATATTTGCATTTATTAATAACAATAGAAACTATGAAGCATTAAGATATTATTAATAATTAATTTAACATTTTAAATACGAGAAAGCTGCACACACATTTTTTACCTTTTTGATTTTGATATTTACAGAATAGGTTCGTTTTTAAACTAAGTATTTTATTTTAATTGCTTTTTGCAGCAAATTTCCATTTTATTTGCACATAATCTAAATTTATGACCTGTTCAATGACGGCCAAAATATTTGTGATTTTATATTTAAAAATGTTTGTTATTCATCTCTGAACAAAACTGTGTGACAAGCTTACACGCCTAAAGTTCTTAACATATCAACACCAAAATAAATCGGATTGCACTCATAATTTAAAATCATCGTCCTGACACATTGGGATGTTTGAATCTTATAACGATATTTCTGGACACGCTTCGTGCCAAAATGCAAAATACAAAAATTGTGACCAAAGGCTTCACATGCGATTTAATTGCGTATCAATTATTGAGAAATCACAGAATGCTTAGTTTTTTGCTAACATATCAATATTATTTTACTGAATTTTTTGGCAAAACCGTAATATGTTCAGTATTACATTGTAGATAATAAAATGTACACACCAGAGAGCTAAAAGTGTGTTAGTACAAAATTACAGTTTTCCATAGACAAAACAAAATAAGAATTTCTTAGAAATAAATGAAAAAATAAATTTTCTAAATTGTGCAGGGGTTTGATTTTTACTTACCGATTATAATAGGGTCCATCGAACGACTGACCACTGTCATGTTTTCTCTACGTAAGTAGCTAATGTTCGAAACTACTGGACCGATCGTTGTCAAATTTTATTTGTTTATTAGGAATATCCTGTAGATGGTAAAACGCTAACCAAAATTTAGCTAATCATAGATTGATTTTTTTGGTAAACGCCATTTAAATTTGATGAAATAACATACTCCTATACTTGTGGATTATGAATCTGCCTTGATTTTTTACCATAATTGTCCATATTTTCGCAAAAAAAAAATACAAATTGTGTCGTGTTCAGTTAATAACGCGTAGGTCACTGGTTCACATTTTTTTTATTCATCAAATCAACGATTCACCTCATTTTCTCGAAAATTTGAAAATACAGTAATGTTGCGCCCCCCATATTTAGTAATAATAAAACTAGAACTGTCATAAAATGCAACAAGGAATACAAAAAAAAGGAACAATATCTAAATTTCTTCGAGTGGGGGAAAGTCATTTACCTGTTCAGAATGTGGCAGATTGCTACCATAGATAGTCCTGATATTTAGATTAAGAGATTTAATACTTAACCACGTTAATAAGCATTCACTGTTTGCTGAATAAGGGCAAAGTTTCAGGTAATTCCAAAATTTCAAAAAATTATTTTCCAAATGATTCTTTCGAATTGAAACTATATGTATATGAGATAATGTGAATTGTTTGCCGTTTTGTTTTTTTTTTTTTGCGATGAAGGAATAAGTTCTTAAAGGCTTCTAACTTTATTAAAAAGACATTATTACACATTTTAATAAAGTTTAGTGAATAATAACAGGTAAAAATCGTACTTAATATTTTACCTTTTTCTTTGCTTCTGTATATAGGATAATCAAAAAATGACTGATAAGCTCGATGGTACATTGCTAAGAAAACTGAAGAACTCGAAAAAAATGGTTAAAAAATCCTTGCATCAAACTCTTGAAAATATTAAACTTCAAAGTTTGAAAAATTAACTTCGTAATTCTGATTTGTTTTAATGAACTATTTGTCTAATAGACGTTAAATAGTTAGTTATTAATAATTTAATAATAATTTGTTAAAATACTATTTACCGTCGCCTGCGTTTCATTTTCCTTATGAGGGCTCTAGTTATCTTCGAAAAAAGCATCACTTTTGGGGAAAATTTGAAAGATTTGCATTGTTTAACTATTAAAAAATATTGGGGCTTATATTTTGCTCTTTTTTCTTAATATACGTAGTCTTTTTTTCACAACAAGAAATTTAAACGTATTCAAAATTTTTGTTGGGAAATATATATATATATTGCAATTACGTTCTGCCCCTCGGTCTGACAACGAATAAAAAATTCATCACAATTGAGATCGGGACTTTTTTTTAATTACATATAGTTTTATTTGAATAACACGGTAGTTAAATAAGTTTTCAGTTTCTTATTAGGAAAAGATTTTGTATATTAAAAAAAAAAAGTACAAAATATAGGCCCCGCCCACCCACCCCCTCTCAATTGTAACGATTTTTTTATTCATCGTGAGGCGAGGGCGGAGCTTAGCTGCAAAAACCTTATTTCTTTACAAGAAATTACCCTGTGGAATATATATGTTCTTAAAAGAGCAAAATTTTGCAAAGATATGCATTTTGCAATTAAACTCCGCCCCTCGGTCTGACAACGAATTAAAAAATCATTACAACTGAGGTAAGGTGGGTGCTTGGTTGGGTGGGGCTTATATTTTACTTTTTCTTCTTAATATACGTAGTCTTCTTTTCACAACAAGAAACTTAAAACATGTTCAAAATTTTTGTAGGAAAATATGAATTTTGCAATTACGCTAGCGCCTCTTGATCTGACAACGAATAAAAAATTCATCATAATTGAGACTTTTTTTTAGTTACTTATAATTTTATTCGAACAACACGATAATTAAATATGTTTTTAGTGCGAAATATTAACCCCGCTCACCCACCCCCTCTCAATTGTGATGAAACAAGTTAACTGCTCATTTCTAGCTAATCTATTTGGGATTTGTGTACGTCGATAAATCGATCATTTTAGAAAAATTGAACCAAAATTGCAGGTTAGCTCTGTGTTAACTTTCTGAATAAATTTTCATTTTTATTTCACTACAATTTTTTGTAGTAATGATATGTAACGCGATCGACGAGTGTGGAAGGAAGACGTTTCATAACGCCGAGAGCACGAAAAAAGTGTCTGTCTGTCCATCTGCTATGTACGAATCCGCTTTGATTTTTTTCCTTAAAAAGCGAAATTTTCGGAAAAAATTTGACACAGTATAATATTTTCTACGTGACATTGTTTCGATGCATAAACACAAACACTCGAAGTTAAGCATGTTCTTGCCGAGAGGACATTTTTTTCTCGTTGGTTATCATTTTTTTTTTTTCCAAAAACTAATATTTAATTTTGTGAATTTAATTTTATTATGCTAATCTTTAAAAGTTAGAAAAATCAAGACGGATTCATAAACCACAAGTTTAGCAGTATGTTATTTTATACAATTTAAATAGCATTTATTATGCAAAATTTTTAGTTGACATTATCAAACTGCTGGTGTGAATGATCAGACAAATTTTGGTTAGCGTTTTACCATCTACACGATATTCCTAAAATACAAATAAAATTAACAATAATCAGTCCAGTAGTTTGATTCAGACAAAGAGATGACGGACAAACAGACGGAAACGGGACACCTATTTGTTTCATACTCTGGGATAGATAGCGTACGGACGGGAAGTAAAAAGTCAAAATAAAATTAGCCTCTTATTTTATTCAAATATTTTATTCTGGTCAATGTGTTCAGTTTATTTTGACTTAAATTGCTGTGCAGAAGACCGTAGGATTTATCATATTTTCAAAATTCGAAAAAAGAATTAATAAAAAAGAAAAAAAAAAGATTTAAATTGGACTAACCCTGATACTAAACATCATAATATTACTATTTAAGCTGTCCATACAGTTAGACATTCCAGACTTCAAATCTTGGGACGTTAAAGTCAAGCACTTGTAGAACATAAAGTCATTTCATTTCCTTAATTCCGATTAAATTTTTAATATGATATTAAAGTAGGTAACACGTGACCGATTCTACGCCAATCAGATGTCGCTAAACGCCTCATTAAGTGCGTGATTGACTTAATTTTGATTAACATATTCTATATACTTGTCCTGAAACTACTAATATCGGAAAAAATGGACTTGCGCATGAAAACATTACATTCAGACTTAAATACAGAGACTGGGCTTAGTAGAAGACACCTTATCTTACCTTAAGGAAACTCTTGGAATAGGGCATAAATCTTTATTGAAACAATTTTCTTTCAGGTGACGGCGACGCTAAAGGTTGGCCCGTACGTCCCAGCCTCTTCCCCCACATCCCCCCGTACATACGCTTCAGCACCCACGACGCCGAGATTCCCGTCAAAGTGCCCGCCGGCCGTCGACTGTTCAAATGGAAACTTAGCACAATCACTCCGATCGTCGTCCGTAAAACGTTAACGAATTCTGGTTTTGCGATGGTTAGAAGTGAGTTCAGTCGAGGTGTGCCCCAAATTCTATAACCTTTTTCCCAAGAAAATCCTCCGTCCCGTATATACTCTTATTTCAGTGCCGTCGGTCGAGTTGCTTTCACAGTATAACCTTTCAGAATCGAATCAGTGGTTAGGCACGTGGGGCAAGCACATGAAATCGCCGATGTTCAAAACGCTCAAAGAAACGCAAAAACTCAACCACTTCCCCGGAACCTTCCAATTGGGTCGTAAAGACCGGCTGTGGCGCAACTTCCAAAGACTCATTAATAAGTTCGGATATAAAGAGTAAATATTGTGGTGGGGGTGTTGGGACGGTGTGCTGTAAGGTTAGTTTTAGATTCGGTTTCATTCCTCAGACGTTTATTCTACCTCAAGAACTGAAAATACTCAAGCAGAACTGGGAATATAAAAACGGAAGCGGAGAGGCGTGGATCATCAAACCTGTGAGTTATAGAGTTTTTCGAATGTTTAACAAAAACATAGTTAGTCAAGTAAGATTTAAATTTATGTCCAAGTTGAAGGAAATCTTTTTATTTAATCTAGCATTCAGGTTATTCGCTCTTATATTTTTGAAATTTGATGGACAAAACTCGAAATCAGTGAATAATTTGAGTACTATCTCAGTCTTGTTGGAAATTGAATCTTGTATATGTAAATACGGTGGTCTGAGCTTCTGGGGTGTCATTTAAGTTTCATAATCTACATTTAAGTATCATAGGTATAATCTACGCTAAAGTGGACGATTTCCACCCACCGTGGCGTTTCGTTGTTGTGATATCAGATCTTGCGTTTGCCAGCAGAGTTGCTGCAGAACGTCTCAGACTGTGTCCAGTATATGATTGAACATCAGGTAGGTTGAAGAAAGAAATAATTACCTGAAGTGTTTTATTAGACAACGTACAGGTACCAGCTGGTTGAATAGTGCATTTTCATTTCTTATAATTAAAGCACGTTTGTAGCAAATTCTTGTGTAATGATTGTGAAGCTTTTTGATACATTTGTCTTTAAATATTCGGTATCGAAAAGTACAAATTTGATATCCTCTCATATTTTCTCTATGTTCAACTGTCAACTTAGTACTTTCATTACAACGGCAAGCACGTGATAAAGGGGCATATCGTCATTATTAATGGGATCTAAAAAAATACAGCACAAGTCAATATTTTGACTGAATCTGTATTTTAGAAATGACAATTCACTCAAAATACAGGAGTCCCAAATTTGGAGGAGTCTAATAGAAGTCTGTACTATACACGGTGCAACGAGTGTTCAATTGCAAAATCACTCAGAGTAGGCGGTGAAATTTTATTTATCTATATTGTTTATTTTAAAATGTAAGGTTATGTTTCTACCAAATGGATGTTATAAAACAAGACATACTGTTATATGTATAATTTTTTTTAATAATCCTTACATACTTTTACAAATTCAGATTCTTTATGGAGAACGAAAAGAAAAAAAGAGAAAGAGCTTTTAAAAATTCTCAGTTCCTCCATATTCAGAGATAGTGGTCTAGAATTTTGCACAATTTTTTTTAGTTGCTTTGTCATCGTCTGACACGGTGCTAAATTTATAACAAAATTTACGTCAAAAAAGTATCTAAATTTACAACCAAGTAACGCCTGTATGCCACCTTATTAACTTTTTGGGGAATTTAAGAATTAATTTTGGTAATACCATAAGTATGTAGAACATGTTCTAAATAATTTCTCACTAATTTTCATACAAGTTTTTCATGTATGTAATACGATACAATTTTTTGCGCAAAATTTGTCTCGCTAAATTTCGTAAAAATTTGGCATCATGTTGGACGGCATTTTACATATAAATATGTCTATATAAAATGGCTGAAATTTCTTTATACAGGTAGTTAAGTAGATCCGGTTCTAAGACAGATTGACCTCATTTGACCTGACCTGTTCTAGAACCGTGTGACTAAGCCAGGTCATTGACCTGTCAACAAAAGGTAATGCCGGTTCTAAGACAGGTCTAATGAGGTCACATCTTGTCTTGCTGATTCTCCTATATATTATTAACACTACGTGTATAAAATTTCAAAGGACCATCTTTAAACATGGCAAAGTTGAGTTTTTTTTTTAAATGACAATATTTTATGTAAAAATATACGAGTGCTGAAAACTGTTGATGCCTGATACCATAGATTGCAAAATGTTGTAGTAACGTCATCTCACATTATTGGTGGGGGTGATTAAACAAATTTTGGTTAGCGTTTTACCATCTACATATTTTTAATTTAAATACGAAATTTTACAACAATCGGCCCAGTATTTTCGGAGATTTCTAATAAAAATCCGGACAGACAGCATACAGACGAACAAACGGAAATTTCTATTTCTTCGCACTCTAGAGGTCATGAAAAGTCAAGAAAACGTAAAAGTAGAGAGTAGGTCAACAGACTCGATTACAATAGTTCCCGAGCGTAAGCGAAAATGAATTAATGAAGTAATTTATTTTATTGATTAAATCAAAACTGGCGTATCTCATTTTATTGAAATTATAATACAGTAATGTTATTAGTACATATTACAATGTATCTTTCCAAATTGATACATTTGTTCCTACTTATACATGATAAGGTCATCAGAAAATTTTCTTTACTTATCGTTTAATAACTCTCATATTTTATTTTTATTTATAGGGGCTATTAAAAAAATAATAAAATTCGCAAAATCAAATTTACTTGTTAAGATGAGATTTATTTTGGCGAATGACACAACCTCTAAGAAAATAGAGGGCGGGTGGGCGGGGCTATTACTTGCTAAGATAAGGTTTATTTTGGCAACTGACATCCTCTAAGAAAATGAAGGGGGGGTGGGCGGGCCAAGTACTTACTCAAGATAAGACTGATTTTGTACTAGCTCCGCCCACCCGCATTCTCTTTTCGTAGAGGGTATCTCATTAGCCAAAATCAGCTTTATCTTAGGAGGTACTATCCTCACCCACCCACCTTCTCTTATCTTAGAGGATATTTCATTTGCCAAAAACAGTCTTATTTTAACAGGTACTAGCCCCGCCCACCCGCCCTCTCTTCTCTTAGAGGGTATCTTATTTGCCAAAATTAGTCTTATCTTGGCAGTTACTAGCCCCGCCCACCCACCCTCGCTTTTCTTAGAGGGTATGTCATTTGTCAAAATCAGTTTTAACAAATACTGATGACTAAAAAAAACTGATTTGTTTGATTGTATGTATATTAGAGGCGAAGGAAGTCCTTTCCAAATTTGAACCCTTTTTTTTCTTATTAAAGGATCTAAATCTTAAATTATGCAGGTATTCAGTCAAAAAGAAATACACTAGTATTGACTTTTAAACGAAACATCCAGTATTAGCAGATTTATTATTCTCATAAAATTTTAAATATAACCTGGCTACAATTTCAGTAATAACAGGGGCAGTTTGGTATATATTTAAATTAGCAAAAAAATATTATTAATGAAAAACAACAGTTTTTCGTCTTTTTTTTTAATTTTTGTGAAATTTTTCATCACGTATTTTTTAAAAACCAATATATCAATTATTTACCGAAATTTCGGAACTCAATTTTCACCACTGTTTTCAACTTACAAAACTCTACTTTTTTTTTGTAAGTGACAGTAAAAATTATCTTCGACACAACCTGCTCTCGCTGTATCTCATTTCCGAAAAAAAAAACATGACGATGTTTTGGTACGATTTACAAAGAAGGTTGTGCTTATCTTATATTTAAAATTTCAAAAAAATAAGTATGTTAACGGAGATATTAAATTCTAAAAATATATTTACAACAGGATAAACACCAAACGTACGACTCCTCTTGAAGGAATTCTATCAGACTGCGTCAAGAAATTTGTCAGTCTTCCATGAATAATCTTCTACCACAAACCGTTGAGACACCCTATATATCCGATAAAATTTTATCATGTAATGAGAGGATTGTGAAACAAAACAATGGAAAGGCCGCTTGTCACTACAAAACTGAAATCAACAAGATAAATATTGAGTTTAATTTTACTTCAACTTATTTAAGATGTTAATTGTATCTGCTTAGATTTTTTTTATGTAAGATGATGTTTTTATATATTGTATTTTTTATTATTATTACTTTTGTATTTATCTCGATTTTTGAAATATTGAATGTTTTTGACAACAACTCTCACATTTACTTTACAAATTTTATTGTTTCCTCAGTTATTATTGAACTGTTTCTTCTTCCAGCCGGCGTTAGCGCGAGGTGTAGGCATCAAAGTGATAAACAAATGGTCCCAGCTGCCAAAAAAAATGTCATTGGTTGTGCAAAAATACATTTCAAATCCGTACCTGATTAACGGGAGCAAGTTTGATCTCAGATTGTATGTTCTGGTTACTAGTTTTAATCCATTACGCATTTACTTGTATCCTGATGGTTTAGCAAGGTTTGCTAGTGGTATGTAAAACCCCTAAGAATTCTCTCTTCAATTAACTCTTTACTTTTTAGCCAAATATAGCAGTGACGCTAAGGATCTTAAGGATAGATATATGCATTTAACCAATTATAGCATTAATAAGCTTTCCAGTCAATATACAGCTAATGAGGACGCCAATGCTTGTCAGGGACATAAATGGTAAGCACTTTGTTATCATACACATTCGTAAAAAAGGTTGATAGTCACTTCCGGAAAAACTTGAACTTGTAGTTACATAAAGTAAAATTTTCAAAAGTGTTCTGTTCTTGTTAGGACCATAACCAAGCTGCTCGAATACATGGCCAAACAAGGAATCGATACCAAAGCCTTATGGAAAAACCTCCAATCACTCGTGATCAAAACGATAATCAGCGGCGAAGCCCCCATCCATCAGCTCTGCGAAGAAAACATGTTGAGTCGTTACAATTGCTACGAACTGTTCGGTGTGGACGTTCTCCTCGACGAAAACTTAAAACCTTGGCTGCTAGAGGTGAACATTTCCCCAAGCTTGCACAGTTCGAGTCCTCTGGACGCTCACGTCAAAGGTCCTCTAGTCCAAATGTTATTCGATCTCGCCCAATTCCACTTCCCACCTAGACTGTCCCAAACCGTCCGCCAAAGCCCTCAGTGCTTCGAACCCAAGCTCTACACGACCGCATTAACGAAGAAGGAACGCGAGAAACACAGACTTTTCGAGGCGTACGAATGCCGGCAGGACTACATGGAGGACATCCTGCTGGAGCTAACCGGAGACGACGTCCGCAAGCTTACGCAGGCCGAGGACGAGATGACCGTGAGGGGGAGATTCGAGAGGATTTTTCCCACGGCGCAGACGTACAAGTACCTCAATTTCATGGAAGTGAGGTACTACAATCGGCTGTTCGATGCGTGGGAGAACAAGTTCGAGAAGAATAGACTGGGGGGTGTCAACCTGTTGAGGGCGCTTTGCGCCGAAAAAGTGCACTTAAAGGTTGCTCCGCAAAGCACTGTTCATAAGGTAATTTTGTTTGTGATTGGTCTTGTGTGGTTGTTGAGTGATATGTTTTGGTATTTTTTACTCAATTTTTTTCTTTTGATTTTGATGATGATACGACAAAGGCGAGAAATTTCATGTTGGCGACAATCCAAAGCGTTTGTTCCCAATGTCGCAGTAAGTCGATGGATCGTTTTTGTTTCGTTTCGTGTGTTACACTAATGGCCTAAAATTTTTGTATGGTCTAGTTTCTAATGGCGACAGGATAGTGTTTAGCAACAGCAGCGATTAGAGAGTCATAGATTAAAAATACTAATAGGTAGGAAATAGCGGTACTAATATACTTCACATACGGGTATCTTAGATTTTATTTTACGGGAAAAAAAACTTATTAAAGTATATGACAGATATGCACGATAAAAACCACATTTAATGACATGTTGTATAGTTACAAGAACGTTTAAAGTCTTATTAGTTCTTACACCTGGAATCGGTCCTTCTATTTTTGTAGCAAAGTTTTTTTGAACAATTAATCTTAGTAATTAACATCTGGTTTTCAGTCATTACTTTTGGTATTGAAATTTAATTTTATACGAGTATTTTTAGGTGTCACGTGAGCACACCGTCTAAATAGCGACATGTTTATCGTTTGTTTCACCTTGTTAGGGTTTTTATATTAACGACCAATAATAAAATTAAGTTCGTATATTAAAAAATCACAATCTTTGATATAATCTTATAATTTTGTTATATAGTTTTGTAAATTTATACAAATGTTATTAAAATCATGGCCAGACACAAAAATTAATGTATTGGTTACAAAACATCAAATATTATTTGTCCAACTTTTCCAGAAAATTGATGACATCCCAAATAATTATCAAAAAAGTGTTTAATAAACACAATTAATCGAAAGTTATTTGGATGGAACTCTCCTCGCCCGTGAAGTATAATCAAACAATCTAGTGTCTTAGATAAATGATTATAAAAAATGTTGGGTACCTCTGGGGTCCGTATTAGCTCACATTCTTCGTAATCTATGTGAATAACCTTCCTGTTTTATAAAACCAATAGAAACTTATCATTTTTGCTGCTGATGCACTACGATTCTGTTATCAAATAACAACATAGAACTAGCACGAACATGTTTGAACATAATTGAAAAAAAAATCCGAACAGTCGGCTAACATTGACTATGTTGGACTCAACAAAAATAAAACTCAAAAAATATGTAGCAGATGCTAATGTTAAGATCTTGGAGATGGTTATGGACAATGCACTAAACAGCATATTATTTTTATTAAGAAAATTAAACAATTCCAATCATAAAAATTTTAAAAACTTATGCATATTCAAGAAGTTTACCAAACATGCGGCAAAAATTCAGGGGGTTGTTCCTTAATTTAGTTTTTGATTTTTTGCCCTTGAATGATTGTCGGAAAGACGCTTTGTTGCGAAGATACGGCACGATGAAAGTAAAATAAAACTACGCTAATCTGGTATTTTTGAAAAAGTAGTTCGGCCAATGAGAAGACTGGATGCATCCTAGCTAGTTGTAGTCATTTTCGGCATTTTTTGTAGATAAATACGGATATTCATTTACTGTTTAAATTTTAATGTATTATGTAAAGTTTTTCAAAAATTTCGGAAAAAAGAATGAACGGTGTTTATTTAATCATTTAAGTAAATTGCTTGATTCGTTATTTTTTTTACCCATTCTATGTAAGCATGAAAAAAAAATGAAACCAGTAGTGTAAATGCCCAGAATATTGTGCACATTATAGACAAGATAAGTATAGAAAATTTTGAGATGAAATCATCAAGATTTTGGGGAGAATAAACAGATACATTTTGATTAGCGACTTAACATGCTTATAATTACTTTCAAACGTTAAACAGTTTAATTTTTTTTTTTTTCAAAATTGAATATTAAACGTAAAAATAAAAGCCGGTTCATAAACCACCGGTATAGAAGAATGTTATTTTATAAGAGAATACATATAGTTCTTACACAATACGTGTTAAAAGACGAATATAATTATGAGTTTCATATATATTGCCTATTATTGTCCCTGATGCGGGTTTCTGTAACTTTCAGATAATATGTATACAGGGTAAGTCACTAATTATTTTTAACTATACAGAGTGTTCTGTTTTGATGTTAGTTAGTTTCAAATGGAACATTCTATACATTTTTAAATATTCTGATTGGTCTGTTCTTACGCGTTACAACCACAGTTTATTTTTGAAATTACGGTGCAACGTTGCCACGTTATTCCAATGTTCTTAAAAAAAAATTAACAATGGAAGGGTTCACAAAAAAACTCACTAGGGTTATTTTTAAAATTTGTGTTGTAATGATTTGTAATGGTCTAAATAAAATTGAGTCTTAATATACAAATTACTTACAATTTTTTTAGGTGTTTTTACCGAGCGTAAGCCAAGGAAGTGTAGTAATCGAGTCCATCGGACGAATTGCCACTTTCATATTTTCTCGACGTTTCATGTTCCCTACATGGTGTCTGTATCCATTTTTTATTAGACACATAACCTTCGAAACTGCTGGACCGATTGTTGTCAAATTTTGTCTGTATATTAGAAATATCATGTAGATGGTTAAATGCTAACCAAAATTTGGCTAATCATCCCCACCAACAAATTAATTACGTCATTTCAATGATGATAATAACAATAATATACTTGTAGTGTACGAATCCGCTTTCAGTTTTTTCGCTAAACGTTCATTTTTTCGCAAAAACCTTTGCAAGGTATAATAACGTTATACTCCCAATACGGGGCATACGTCTCCCTGGCGCAGTGGCTGCATCGGGAAAGCGGCGACCTGCCGTGGATTCAATGCCGAATTTGGCCGTTTACTTTTTTTTTTTTTCTTGCATTGGTAATAATCTGTGACTACTTTTCTCTTGTGCTGTGATTAGTATTATCCATGTTGATAACGATATCACAATTTTTTTTATTGGGCAAATTAAGAACGAGTCACCCCATTTCTCATCAAACAAATTAAACAAAATCAAACTAATTTCTACGTGACAATCTTTCGATGTATAAATATAAATAAACACTTGAGCTTCAGGTTGCTATTACCTAGTGCTAAAGGACATTTTATCCCGTTAATTATGTGCTCTAAATATATTCTACATTACGGTGCAGGGCTGCGGGGGTGTTATTTGTGCCGCTGGTTTTTACTTTACAGCGGTTATCACAAAAAAATTGTCGGATTATACTTGTAGCGTTGGACCAATTTTTTATTGATCAACTTAAGAACCTCAGTTTCTCGTCCTAATTTAATTATGATCAAATAAGTATAGTAATATGTAATCATATTCAAAATATGTTGTTCCATTGTGGCTTAATTAATAATTTTAATATTATGTTCTGAGAAGACAACTCATGCAAATTAAACAATTTTCTAGGTGACGTATAAACATAAACAAAGTTAAGCAAGTACACTGATAATAATACACTCTTCCCTTAGTGATTTGCTTTGAATATATAATTTCATATTGTCCATATATCTGCGTACAGCACCTTTTTGGAATTTGCACCCTCGCGGCGAAGGGGGTTCGAGGTGTCATTTACACAACTGCTTTTTCCTCTATATAAAGATTATTGTCAGAAAACAAAAATTTTGTATAATTTTTCAAAGACGCAAGATTTGTAGGATTGTACTTCAAGGGCAAGGGAAGCTCTGTCGAAGTAATCTTGGACCAATTTTTTATATTTTTAAACTTGATAGTTTTTACTTTTTTGAGAGACACAAAGACACTGAAAAAAAAATGCAAAGTGTTTTATTTGAAAAACTGAAATATCGCAATCTGAAAATTGTAACGTTTTAGATTTTTTTATAAACAATCTGTTCGTTAAAATTTGATTTAATTGATCCTACAGCAAAGTGCATACTTCTGTGTAATACTTAAAAAAATATTGCATAAAAAATTCAAGGAAATTGGTATAAGATGGTAACGTCGCATCAGAATTTCAAAAATAAACTATGGTTATGGAGCCTAGGAAGAGACTAATGAAAATATATAAAAATATGCAGGATGTTTAAAAAAAAAGTAGCGTTCTGTGCCTCAAAAACAAAACACAAATTATGGTCGAACATAAATTTAATGTATGCGACTCAAAAAACCGAACAACTTTGAACAATTACTTTTTTTGTATCTTTAATAATTAATGAGACATCGAGGACTTAATGACTCATCCTGTATATAATTTTGACAAAGCGTTATGATCATAGTAGGTTGTGAACTTTCTGCCTATATTTTTGAGTGTACTTATTTTATTTGAAGATTAATTGATGTGTATATTAGTTGCATATAAACAAGGCACATTTAAATAACAATTTAAAAAAAAAATCAAACAAATTTTCGTAGTCAGCCTCAGGGACCTAAAGTGAAGAAGCATCGAAATAAATACTGATTTTACTTTCAGCGATATCTCGGTCTCCAAGTAGCCTTGAGAAAGGCTGTTCTTTCTTTTGATGATTAATTAAGGTTTTAATTAAAACCAATTGGCGTAATAATTAATTTTTTGAGTGCAATGCACCAATTGTCAAAGATTTTATAACTCAATACATATTCCAGTTAGCCTTTATATTACTTTGTCCAACTTCGCTATGCTCTTTCCAACATGTCATTATTCGAGTAGGCATATCTGTGTATATCGCTAGTAATTTATACTTTATGTTAAAATCTAAGACAACTGGTATATTTTGAACCACTTATGAATGTTAGATTTCTTCCTCACCGAGCTCCACTAGTTTTACTAACTACGAAAATCCAAATTGTTACTAACGGAATGAATTCTTTCACTTCACTGTGTACACGTGGTAGCTTTAAATGTAAAATAAATTGTTTAATTTTTTTAACATCAAATTTGAGACATACGGTATTTCATTCCCAGTAAAATACTGATGACGTCATCCGAAAAAATTGTGAAATGATTGCGCTCTAGAAACAACGTTTGGTATAAATACTTTAACAATTTTATTTTACGTTTGAAGCAACCACAAATAAAAAAACTTTAAAATATCAGCAGTGGAACACATATACGAGCCCTAACAACTAAATATTGGGACACAGACAATTTCTCAAAAAAATCCGGTACATATTTTTGATATCATTCAATTCGTTTGGACTAAAATGCAAATTTTGCATGGGCATCTATTTTGGCAGAGAGTGAGGTATTTTGCAAATTAATAAATTTTCTTAGAGCGCAAAAATTGTCACCTAAATAAAAAATGTGGCATTTTTGCTGACATTTAAATGTTGGGACACCCGAGAAAATTTGCTAAGTATACCATCGAAATACAAACGTAGTAGCTGGTAAATGCTGCCATTATTATAGGGATCGTAGCATTTCATACTAGTGTTGGTTTCACTTAAAAGAAAATAGTTAGTGGTGGGCTAGTTTTAGTAAAATTTCTGAAAATAATAATTTCGCAGTACTGCATGGGAAAATCGATAAGAAAAAGTGAAGATTTGTTCTAAATAGCTTAGTCGTCGATGGTAAACATCGTAAAATATTACGCTGACAAAGGTACCACAGGAATAAAAGGTAAAATTCCCGGTAGGCCGCCACTTGTGAAGCCGCGTGATCAACGACAACTGATGAAAATTTATAAAAGTGGACGACGGAGTACTTCAAGAGAAATTACTACTTGCTGGAATAGCGATAACCAACTAAATGTTTCAAGACAATATTGTCGCGAATGGATACACAAATCAGGCTTTGGTTTTTACATTGTAAATCTTAAATAAAGCTATCTTTGATTAACTTTATTATTTATTTATATTATGTTAGGCTAAAGTAAAACCACAATTAAAAACTGCCCATAAGAAAAATTGGTTAATATGACCAAAATAAAAATTGGAGAAAAGTAATATATAACGCTGAGTCCAAATTTGATGTATGGGTGAGATAATAGTCGAAAAAGAGTTATTGAAATAAAAAAGGAATTTTAATATGGATTATCTTAAACAATCAATCAAGTCTGCAAGCGGAAAAATGGTTTGGGGGTGCCTGTCTATTAACGGAATTTAAAGACCAGTTAACAACGTTCATGGAAGGGAAATTACAAATTCAAACAAATGTCAAGAGACTTTGTAAAAAAATATTAACAACTACTGAAGCAGTCTATCCTGTTGATATTTATATTTTTCAACGGGATGATGCTTCAAGTTACACACCTACAACACTTATTACAAAGAATAATAATATAAATGTTTGCCCTGACCATCGAATAGCCCAGATCCTTATCTAGTAGAGACGGTATGACGTGAAATAAAACAATATTTAGGAAATCATCCATGACAAGCGATTGTCAATCTTCAACAGGAAATTTAGCGAGTGTAGGATACGGTAACAACTCCTGTGTATTGCAGAAAATTAGTTGAAAGTATGATGGCAAGAATTCCTGCAGTTATTAAGGCAAAATGAGATATGATCAGTTACTGAATTTGCTGTGTCCCAATATTTATGTGTCACAAAATGTTACGTTGGTTTAGAGTTTTATGTCACTGTTTGAGTTAGAAATCAGTTTTTGTTGTGCTGTAAACATTAACAGTTTTACAAAACGAAGTAATTTTAAAATTTTAATTATCTAAAGTAAATTACATTTTTGTTAAAAAGTTTGGTAATTTTTTTATAAAAATTTTTTGTTGTCCCAATATTTAGTTGTTAGGGCTCGTATTACATAGGATTATTATTAATATTACACACTTACACCTTTTGTACAAGTTACAGCCTTATTAGTATAGTCTTAACAGTCTAGTTAATCTACATGCAAATCTGTAGGTAGCATTTGATGTTATAGAAAACCATCTAGGACGTACATAAATATAAAAAATAAAATACTAGATTAAATATAGTTAATAAATTACGCTCAGGTATGTAAATATAGTGAGTTTATTGTATATATTTTTTTGTTTTTGGAATGTTCATATAACTAAAAAGCAGAACATCATTTTTCCGTGCTTTTGATTTTTCGAATAGAAAGTAAGCCTAGCAGGTGCCTTCTTTAATGTCGCACGCGCCTAATAGTTGTGTTTAATCAAGCAATGCCTTTTCTTATTTAGAACTTGTTGTAGAACTCGCACAATATGAGCCTTGGGTCTGTGAATCTGCAACCATCGAAGGAAGGTCAGAGTCGTCCGCTAGTAGAAATTCTGCAAGAAGTAACAATCGAAAACAAACCTAGTTGTAATTCTGTTGTGTAATTAATACTAAGTATGTTGTGATATCTATACATCTTATACTTACTAACCTTGCTAATTTCAGATGGAATTTTTCATCTATTTTGGAGTCGTTTTGTTTTAATGAATTGTTTCTTGACGTGAATGAGAAAAACACCAGCATTTAAAACTGCCAAATTTGTACGGTGTATGATATTTTTCTTGTTGTTAAATTATTGTAGCCAGATTATTCCTTTTATATTTGCATTTACAGCAAATTCATGTGTTTTTTTAAGTTTTTTTTATTGAATTATTAGTACTGTATTTTAGTCAAAATAAACTATTTCTCTAATAGTGTTAACTGTTTTCGTCGTGCTCTGGGGCTTCACGGGGAATTTCTATCCTTTGCACTGTGACATTCAGTTGCATTCTTATGTCTAGCAAAAAGCAAAGAAAAATTATGAAAAGGGGCACCTTCAAGCGTAAGGAATAGCCCAGTTTCAGCAAAAACATCAGCGGCTCGGCTAGCGGCATCTATATTGATCTGGATGTTGGACGATAAATGAGTTTGATTTTTATTTGTTCAAAATTAATTACAAAAAGCATTCCACTATTAGTGCTTAAGTTCTTTTCGACATTGGGAAACCAAAATATAGCACTTACGTGGTAATTTGTGGTAAATGGATCATTTTAGTATTTTAAATGTGACATGATATCTGACAACTGACGTCGGAAACTGCGCATTTAGCAGTAACACCAACCGAATTTAGTAACTTTTGGTTCCACGTGTAACCGTTGTTCAAGAGTGAGGTTATAAATCTCAGACAAGTTAAAACAACATGGATGTTGTGAAAGATGTTTTAGAAAAATCGGCAAAAGAGGCCGATAAATATAAATCGGTGGAAGTAAATAAGTTGATTGACATAGATGTAGGTGCCTTATTAGCTATAGATTCGAATCCGCTTGATTCCAAAGCTCTGAGGTAAAGTATTTAGGTTAAAACCCCACGCTTGTATTAACTTGTTCACATTGCAGAAGTAGCCCCAACGACTACTTGTTAAAATTAACGAGGGACAATGTACAGTTGATGTATAATCAGATTTGGGAATTACCGACGGAAAGGATAGAAGAAGCCATTGTGGTGAAACTCCCAAAACCAAAATATTCATTACCACGCGCCAAACCTGTACCCAAGCCACGATCACTAACAAAGTGGGAACAGTTCGCTAAAGCGAAGGGTATCGTCAAGAAAAAGAGGACGAAACTAACCTGGGATGACCAGCTGAAAAAATGGATACCTTTATATGGTTTCAAGCGTGCTGCAGCACAAAAGGAAAAAGACTGGGTGTTAGAAGTACCCCAGAACGCGAACCCCATGGAAGATCAATTTGCGAAAAAGGTTGAAGCTAAAAGTGAAAGAGTGGCGAAAAACGAACTGCAAAGGCTGCACAACATTGCTAAGGCCAAGCACGTCAAAATACCTCGGTTTGGACTCACGAATCCCGATGTGTCGTCAGCAAAAGAGGTAGTTATGCGTAAATTTTGTTAAACAGGGTGTAATGTACAAATTTTAGCTGCAAGCTGCAGTCACAGTGGCTAAATCATCAACGGCTAGTCTGGGTAAGTTTCAAGAGAAACTCCCGAAGGAAAAAGAAGCGAGAGGAGTGGGTGCTATCACACCAGGTGCGACGAGGAAGCGGAAGTTGCCACCTGTGTCTGGGTCAGATGAGAAAACGCAAAATCTAAACATTGTCGAGACAGTTTTGAACAAGCGCCCAAAAATTGATATGGAAAAGGCAGTGGCAAGGCATATGAACGATGAACAATTGCAGTGAGTTTTTTTTTCCATATTATTTTATTTCAGCAGTGTCTGAAACTAATATGTGATCAAAAGATTTTCAGATTAGAATAGACTTTGGAAATAATTTCCGTGGTTTTTGATTAAACCAGGTTTAATTGGGTTTAATCAAAGAAAGGGAAAATATTTCCATAGCCTATCCTAATTAGAAAACTTTGTGATCGCCCATTATCAATATTAAATTGTAATAAATGAGGAGTGATTAAAAAAAACCTGTTGTCACTGGTTGGTCGTTATAACCTCACTTCTTTTATCCATCGTGTCGATGTAGTGTAGACATACGTGTCGTGACAAAAGATGATTAACAATAACTGGGAGGTTTTCATAGATTTAATAATTGCAAACATCGTTTTATTAAAATGATAATAACAATGTTTATTAACATTCAAGATAACAAACGCTTCATAAATTATTTTGTTAATTTTCAATAAGCTTCCAAGTCTATAAAACCCAAAATGCCCATACTATATTTTAGTTTATACTTGACTAATAGCGGGTGTTCAATTGAAAAATCACTCAAAGTAGGCGTTGGAATTTCATTTGACACAAACGGCATGTCTGTTCTTACAACATCCATTTAGCAGAAACATGACCTGTTGTATGTTATATGTTACAAGAACAGACATGCTGTTTTGCCGTTTCTGTCAAATGATACTACAGCGCCTACTCTGAGTGTTTTTTCAATTGAAGACCCGTTATTTCTACAGAGAGATCGAAAAAGAAATTAGTCAAAGTTGGCCACACACAACAAGCCGTTTGTGATAATTTAAATTTTTTTATTAAATGTCAAATTAACAGTTTAAAATTAAAATTATGACACCTACTTTTAAAACACACAGTGTGATTTACCGTGTGAGCAGTAGCGTTGTCATGCTGAAAAAAACTTTAATTTCGTTTGATAACATTGCAAATTACTTTTGTCAACGTGACGTTTAATAAAAAATTATTTATTTATTTGAGACAATAGAAAAGTCAGGTCAGGTGTGTGAAATAAATTTTATAGCAAATAGTATAACAAAGAATGTTCGAATTGGCGCTTTTTTTTTTACTTTTTCCACATCCTAGATTCTATTACTAGTTGCCACTTCCACTCGACAGAAGAACATAATTAGCCCCGCCCACCCATCCTGCCCACTTTTTCCGATTTAATGAAATGAATAATCCTGTACTGAACCGAAATAAAATTAATCGTTACAATGAGAAGAGGAGGTGGGGCTAGTACTGCTAAGATATGACTGATATTGATAAATGACAAACCTTCTAAGAAAATAGAGGGTGGGTGGGCGTAGCTAGTATTTGATAAGATGAAACTGATTTTGTCAACTTTGGCATTTCGACCACTTTTTAACTACATATTTCCGAAAACATTTTTTTGTAGATTTCGACATCCAAAAGTCATTTTTGCCGTCGTTCCTTTGGAAATTCCTACCGTTTTTCCAAAATCGCCAATTGAAATATAGCAATTTTACAGTTCCGTCAAAATCGCTCGGTATAAAATTTTTGTAGATAAAAAGGGAAATTATTAATAATTTTTGTTTTACAAAATACAATAGTTATAAGAGTGTACTTCGTGATTTTCATATATTATTCACAGAAATGTTTAAAATTTGTTTATTTGAGAGAATAAAGAACTCATAACAGGTCAGATCACGTTAGGTCAAGTCAGGTCGGGTGCATGAAATAAGTAATAAATTTTACAACAAAGAATATAACAAAAATTAGCCCCGCCCACCCACCCTGTCTCCTTTTCAATGGTTGATTTCATCCAATTTGAACGAAAGTAGTGATCTTATAAACAGAAATAAAATTAGTCGTTAGAATGAGAAGAGGAGGTGGGCGGGCGATGCTAATATTTGCTAAGATAAGACTGACTTTGGCACTTGTGACATATTCGACCAAAAGAGTTACGATTAGTGCTTTTTTTTACTTTTTTCACATCCTAGATTCTATTAGTTGCCACTCCCACTCGACAAAAGAACAATTAGCCCCACCCACCCGGCTTCTATTTTGGTTTTATCCGCTCTGAATGGATGGAATGATCTTATATTGAACAGAAATAAAATTAGTCGTTATAATGAGGAGAGGGGGTGGGTGGGTGGGGCTAATATTTTCTAAGAAAGACAGATTTTGGCAGATGACATATCCTACAAGAAAATAGAGGGTGGGTGGGCGGGGCTAGTATTTGATAAGATAAGACTGATTTTGGCACTTGACATATTCGACCAAAAAAGAGTTACGATTAGCGTTTTTTTTCTTTATTCACATCCTAGATTCTATTAGTTTCCCCTCCTACTCAATAGAAGAACAAAATTAGCCCCGCCCACCCACCCTGTCTCCATTTCGGTGATTGGTTTTATCCGCTCTGAATGGATGGAATGATATTATACTGAACAGAAATAAAATTTGTCGTTAAATGAGAAGTGGGGGTCGGTGGGTGGGGCTAACATTTGGCAAGATAAGACAGATTTTGGCAGATGATAATCCTACAAGAAAATAGAGGGTGGGTGGGCGGGGCTAATATTTGACAAGATAAGACTGATTTTGGGATTTTTGACATATTCAACCAAAAAAAAGTCACGATTAGCGCTTTTTTTACTGTTTTTACATCCTAGATTCTATTAGGTGCCCCTCCTACTTGACAGAAGAACAAAATTAGCCCCTCCCACCCACCCTGTCTCCATTTCGGTGATTGGTTTTATCCGCTCTGAATGGATGGAATGATGTTATACTGAACAGAAATAAAATTAGTCGTTAGAATGAGAAGGAGGGGTGGGCGGGTGGGGCTAATATTTGCCAAAATAAGAGTCATTTGTAAAATGTTGCTGTACAATTTGGTTTTTGTTTCCAAAAATCTGAATGTCAAGGGTAAAAACTGAACACGAACTTAAAACTACAACTATAGGAATAGTATATATATTGTTATATGTAATTATACTTTTTTTGTAATAATTAAACACTGTTTCTAGACGATCCGAGGAGAAAAAAGGAGAACGACCTAAGCGGCTGCGAAAATCCCACGGCAGCAGCACGGGTGGTGGTGGCAGAAAGAAACCTAAAAACTCAAACCGACCAAGAAAAGGCAAGATGGCGGGAGGCAGGAAACGACGTTAATTTAGTTTTCTCTAATTTTACAGTGTTATATAGTCTAGAGGTAAGTTATATGAAGATCGTTTCTCCTTGTTTTTCCCAACCCAAGCTGGGGTCCTTAGAAACAGCCATGTAGACGAGTGTTCCAGCTCCCGGTAAAGGTTTAGCTGCGACATACGTTCTTTTATCATCGGACCAGCGGCACATGAAGTCTCTGGCGCTCGCATCCTCCAACTAACAAAATTAATATCAAAAAACGTACATTTAACAACTGAAGTGTGCAAAGCTTGTCCATTAATCAAACAATAGTTGTGTTACTTTATTTTTAACAATTGTGTTATTTTTGCAGTTAAGAGTTTATTTTTACCTTTTCATCTAACGGTGACACACCAAGAAGATCTTCTCCCTGGACAGCCTTGTGGAGAACTTGTAAGAAGTACTTGAAGAAACTGTTTCTGTTTTTTTTTATTGTAACGTCAGTAGCTTTTAATGAACGCAACTTCAAAACCCATTTTTTACAAATTTCCTTATCTAAAAAAAGGGTATATGTATATATTGCTCACATGGTACTATGTAAATCTCTACTGTAATCCGCCAACCACACCTGTACATACGGAAGACCATTCTTCTCATTATTAGTTTAATGGGTTAAAGGATGTATCACGTTAAGAATGTGTTATGTCATTAATTCTTAACAATAATATAATATTATTGTTATTGAATACCAATGTGATGTTCTGATGGCGTTCCAATAAATTTTTAAAGTTTTATTTGATTTTTTTTTCCACCAAATATTTAAAAGATGAACAGTTGAATTTTGAGTGGCATTCTGTCATTGGTCAATTAGGAATCGCGCATGCGCATTGTGAAATCAATCACTGAGTCGTGGAGCTGCAACGAACCAATCACTTGGAATAAATATATATTTAAAAAATATATATATTTGAAGGTTATAAAAATAAAAAAGTTTTCATGAAATAGAACAGCAGTGTGCGGAGACAAAAATTTCATATGCAATGCAATGGAAGATTTGAAGCAATGTGACCAAATCGATTCAAAGCATTGAATTCCAATTTTCGTAATAACTAATGATAATGAAAGAATATAAGAGGAAATACGAAGTCCTACTACTGCCTAAGACCTACTCATACCAAGAATGAGCCATTCAAATATGATCAAAGTTCAACAATAAAATCTTCGATAATACCATAAAGTATAGCTAAAAAAAAAGAAAGTCGACTAAATTAAGCTGGTCGTCAGAACCACTTGATTAAACCCAGCTGGTCGTGTAACGTATTTCATTAAAACATTTATGAAACTCATTAACAAAACTGACACCACATCATGGTTATACCATGTCTGGTATGGTTTTTATTAATTTTTTGTGTAGGATGTCCGCTGTATTTGTAACGTCTAATGTAATATGCAGGAGACCTATATTTTGTAATCACTCAGAATCTCTCACAACAGCAACTACTCGTCACTTTTAAGACAAAAATGGACAAAAATTAGTTAGTTGAAACTGCATAAGAATCAATAATAAAACTGCTAATCAAAATTTATCTGTTTATTTCTCCGAAAACTTGCTGACATTATCTCAAAATTTTTCTTGAGAAAAATTTAAACGTGCAAAACATAATGAGTCTACAGTCGTTTATAGGTAAACACATTCATATTTTTTGAAATTTGTTACGCAGGGCAACTCAAAGAAGTTTCAAAATGAAGCAATTTATTTTAATGTTAAATTAAAAACGAGTTACCTCTTTTTGTCTAAATTTGTGAATACAGCGCTGTTACTAGTAATAATATTGCACTGTGTAAAGTAGTTCTAGAAATATTTGAGAATAAAGTTAATATCTTTTATTGCCTTCACAATACGTATTTATTTCACATTGTGAGTGCAATACATCACCAAAGCGTAATTGTTTAAACTAAATGAAATCTCATTCGCCACGGTCCCAACGACGAGAATTGTTTTTATTTTTTTATTCATAAATTCACAGTTCATGTTAAGATTTTGAAATGGTCGTGACGACAAATTCATTTTTTCCCACTCAACTTATTTTATTAACGACATATCTAAAGTTCTGTTTTTTTTTTAAGTTATTACATTTTCTGCACTTCATAACTTCTCACTTCAGACAGTGACTTCAGATTTAAAATAATTTGTGACAGTTAAATTAATCTTAAACGCTGACTCATTTTTGAGAGAAAGAACTTTGAAATTTATCATCAGCTAAATTAATGTCATTATTTTCTTACAACCTGAATTTGAACATTTATTCTCGAATTATGGTCGTGTTTATTTCATATGTGCTTTGTTTTATGCGTGATGTAGGGTTCCACGATGTAATTAAACTTGATAAACGAATTTTGATTTAATCATAAATTCAATTAATGTATAATTTCCGTTCTTCTGTTGTGTAAACATCTTAATAAAGTGTGGCGTAATTAAAATTTGTTTAATTCCTTCCTTGAAATATTGGCACTCATTGTGCTATCGTCAACGCACCGGATCACCTGTTGGAAACAGAGCACCCAAATATAGAGTATTTTTCTCTCATTATAATTGCTCACATGAATGTTTATCTGCAAAACCGGATTTTCACCGCTGCGAATCAAGTCACCTAGGTAGCGCCATCCTTTACGTAAGTCTCAGGAATGCGAGTGTGTTTTATTGTGTGATATTCAAATATTTATATCTATTTATTTGTAACATTTGAGTTCATTTTTGAAAAGCTGGAAAACTTTTTGTAGCCGGGAAATAAGTTCCTTCGAGTTTATTTCACAGCTCTTCCCTCTCCTGAATGGAGGAATAACAACATACAATATAGGGTTGTATTTGTTGACGATCACAGTTAAAGGCAAATTTTAAAATTTTTCGCGGGTTTTATCATTTTGTATACATATCTCGTTTTGGCGGGATATTTAAATTATCATTTATCACAATACCTACATACATTATAAAAATAAATTTTGATTTGTAAAAACTAAATCGATGCCGACATTTGTGTGAAAATATGCGAAATTAGGAAGTCAATCACATGATGAACTCTAGTGGAAGAAATCGCGAGTTGAGGATCAGAGAAACACGAATGTTTAATAGATTACTATAAATAAAAAGTTTATTCAATCTGCAATCAGGGTTAATTATTACAATATCTGGGCAGTAGTTTTAGGGAATTTTCAGATTACCTTAAATCTAACAGTGTAAAAGTTTGAAAATTCTAGAAAATTGAAAGAAATTTTGTGCAAGAGTTAGTTTCGAAGTTTTTTACTTCCCGAACGTAAACTAAGGAAGGCGACTTGGTACTTTAATATTTTCTCGACGTTTTATGACCCCTAGACTCCTAGACAGAGCCGGTATTGCCAACGTTTCTCATCTTCCCGTGTGGTTCCTTCTTCACTTTTCGTGTTATGAGGTTTAGGACGTAGGGGGCCCAAAATACTAGCAATACAAGTTTAAATATAATAAGCCAACACGAATGTCGAAAACTAGTTCAGTGAAGTTTTTTTAATTAATTTCGAAAAATCTACAACCGGTCTTGAAAATCATGAACGCAGTTAATGTTGTTGTCTTCAAGAACTGCTGTAACTTACGCACCGATTAATGGAGAACTCATAATTCGTAACATTCACATAATTATAATTTTGCGTGAAATAATTTTTACCTTTATTACTCTGCACCATTGCAATTAAATTTTTAGCGATCTCCAGATTAGTCAAGAACTCTTCGTCGTACACGTCCAGGACCCTTCTTCCTGCCGCCAGCGCCGCCGTCGGCATACACACTCCTTCTGCCGCTGCCGCCCCTGCTCCTGCCGCCATTATCAACTATAAATTTGGTATTGATCACGGCCCAATCAATGACAGAAAATAAGACAATTAATTTTATTTATTAGTTGTCATGGTAACCGGCCCTCATTTACTAATCAGTTTTAGATGCCAAATTATGAGGTGCACCCTTTTGGTTTTCCATCATGAGTATCCGAAATCGAAAATTTGTTCCGGAATTAGACAACGAAGGAATCTTCGAAAAGCCCTTAGACGTCCCGAAAGATGACGAAATTTTTCGAGATAATAAATATTTACTTAAACCCTACGAACGGATGCACGCGCACCATACGTTGGCTAGTGCACGCAGATACGCATACTTTAGGCCCTTTAGGTGAGTCCAAGTTTTATTATTATTTATTGTATTGTTGTATTTTTGTTGTTTTTGTTATATTTTGCAATTTAATGAACGTTGGAAGTGTTGCGTTATACGTGAGTGACGTTCTCGTCGTAATAATTTCCCTGATATGCTGCAGGCTGTAGTTGAAGAAGATACTTCTTAGCTTCTACTATAATGTATTTTTTTTTCTGTACCAAAATTAAATCCTATTACTGCACTACATACAGGATCGCTAAAAAGTATGGAAGCAATTGAATATCGAGAGAACGGTTTCTTGAATCTTTTTGAAATTTGGACTATCCCTAGGAATACTCAAGTTCTATTTTCTGCGATTTTTTAAATTTTATACTTCATTTGTTTTTGAGATGCAGGGTTAACATGATTTTTTTTAATGCACTAGTAGTTAAATATTCAGTTTTTAAATAGTGCATTTTTTTCTGAATTCAGAAATGTAACGCATGCATTATTTTATTTTTTCTCAACATGGTAAAATAAATTCTCAAAATAAAATGCTCAAAATTCGAAAATCGTAGCTAGCCTGACAATACTATCACCTGTTATAGTCCTGGCGTAGAACACTTTATTCAAAAATTATACTAGTGCCTAATCATTGTAAAAATGATAGAACTTAGGGTACATAAACTGAAATAAACGTGCCAGCCTAACAGACTGATTTAAATGCTGTTTCCAAATAAATTACAAAATTTTCTGGAAATAACAGTACTCTGATTTAATGATTGTAAATAGTGAATATGAAAGCTTTTTGAAAAATTAAAATAAAAATTTACGTTATTGAAAAAAGATCAAATCAAGATTTAAGAAACAATAATTTTACAACAAATGTTCGAAATGTTCTCCATTAACTTTGAATCTGTTAGAATATTAGAAGGAATATCAGAAACCACATTTAATATTCTTTCTTGGAGTTCTTCGATGCTTTGTGGTCTGATTTTTTATATAACCCCACAGAAAAAAATTAAGTGGAGTTAAATCGAGTAACCTAGCTGGCCACGCAACTGCTCCCCTTCGTATGATGATGTAGATTACAAAAAAAAAAAACGTATTTTTATAAAAGTAAAATTGACAACACTACACGCACCTAATGCGTGAATAAGACATTTATAAATTATAAACAAAAACAAAACCAACGAAAGAAAAATCCATTAAAGCATAACCAACTAAACACTAGAACAGATGTTGAAAATTCCTGCGTTATGCATATTAGTAAGTTCGTAATGTTTCAAAATTTTGATCATTTTTTGTAAAAGTTAGCTAACATAAATCTGATTTTGGCAAATGACATACCCCCTAAGAAAAGAGAGGGTGGCTGGGCGGGGCTAGTATCTGCTACGATAAGACTGATTTTGGCAAATGAGATCCCAATTAGAAAATAGAGGGCGGGTGGGTGGGGCTAGTACCTGCTTAGATAAGACTGATTTTAGCAAATGACGTATCCTCTAAGAAATTTAATTAAATTATTATGAGAAAAGACACTAGAGGCTCCAAAGGACTTTCAAATTTTTTCCAAACAGGAATACCTAGAACCTCAAGATTGTTTTAAATTAAAAAAAAAACGAGGTCCCAAAATTAACTCAAAAACAGGTCAGGTCAGAATTTTATTTTCCAAAACTAGAACACCAAAGTCGCCCAAAATTGTTTTTAATAATTACAAAAAAATCTCCATGGGCTCCCAAAATAATATACTATGGGTAGTTATTGATTGTGATAATGAATGTGTTGTGTTGTTTAATTGTTAAATAATATACGCGACACTTACTTCCATCGTCGCAAAGGAGGAAGCCAGCAAGATTCACGGCGGCGAAAATTCGGTATTGCACATAAACATTCACGTGAAGAATGACAATGAGAAAAAAACTTGTAAACACGTTTTGGTTATATCACATTTTATGAAGATGTCAAATTACCCATTAATTCACGTTATTGATTATTATTATTGATTAAAGCAAAATTAGTTCACAAAAACTACATCATCGTGGATTGAATGAATTTTAATTTCCCATTCACATAAACCAAAACACATGTGAAATAACCACAACAGACACATATTCCGTATGATTCAAATTATAATATGGTTGTCCCAGAAAACTCTCGGCATACTTTGCGACCAAATGTTCAAGTTCAAGCTTAACAAATTATTAAACGTGTAAGAAAATGTTAAAGGCCTCCCGTTTTCGACTCCACGACGAGATTAATTTAACTGATGAAAATTTCAAGACCTATTCTCTCAAAATGGATCAATTTTTAAAATTAGTTTAAATACAATGAATGAATTATTTTAAATCTCGAGTGAGAAGTTATGAAGTGTGAATAATGTATTTATTTATTTATTCGTTACTAAAATAAGTTAAGTATGAATAATTGGTACCTTCCAGGTACTTTACGGAAACATTTCCGTTATTGTAGTTCAATTGTCTTAGAATCGTGAACAGTTAAAAATTTTAACATATGACGTTAAATTACTTTACATTACACTAATTACACCCGTTTGTTTAAACAATTCCCGTTGGTGAAATTACAAATAAAACTCTATGTACCTGGTTTTAATACGTGTTTAACTCACAACACCAAAACAAGACGTGGGGCTAAAAAACACCCTTTAAAATCCACATCCCCATTCCAAACTCCTAAACTACCAACCTAATACGCTAATACGTTATTGGAATTATAATTTTTATTTTTCAAATGCGGTTTCGCCGCATTTTTCTCGGCGCGAAATTTAAATTTTCAAATCGGGACACCACAAAACTAATCATTGCTTTATATTATTTAGATTTTTATCCTTACCTGTGAGATTTTGTTTTCCATGCCCACCCCTTATGAGAAACATTTTGATCATACTGTATGTTGTTTCAAAAACGAGAAATGTAAGATGCATTTGTAAACAGAAATGTCTTTGTAAGTTTAATTTTCATGTAATCGCGTAAGCTTGGATGTTGTAGGCACGAGGCGCACGTGATCACTCCATCTGTTCAGTAGATAGACTTTAGAGGATAAAACGCTCGCCAGAATTTGTCTATAATAAGAATGATCAAAAATTTGATAACTTCGTTTTAAGCTTTTACAAGGTAAACCAGTCTTGAAACTTACATTACAACATACTCCTTTACCGTGATTTATACCGTACCCACATTAAATTTAGGCAGAATATCGTAAAAAATTCAGTTTGTAAAATATTTGTGTTTTAGAACCAAAGTATTATTACGAAATAAAGCCATACGCAACCCCGGTACAACGCCTATGTGCCGTCGAGAGCTTTCTAGTGTGTACGACGATGATGGGTGAGTCATCATCGGTGACGCTAGCCGGGCGCGTTCCATAAAGACAAGTCTGGAGCGGGTTACCGGAAGTCTCGATTACGGGGCCGAGAAAAAACTCGAAGCGGCTTTCTCGATCCATCGCGAAGAACGTACAGGTTTAAATAGAGGTCTCCGTCGGGAATGATCATTATTCAGTTAACAAATCGAGTTGAGTGAAGACAGAGGGGCCAATTCCAAGTTGGTGGCGCAAGTCACTGGTGCAGCGCAACTTTATAATGCTAATTTGGGTATCAAATGCTGATTGCTAGGGGTGACGGAATAAACAAACGCAATTTTTCGAGATAAATTGCGCCAACTTGCACTGCCTACTAGAGGTGCCGCAACTCCATGGTGCAAATTTCAATGGAAAATTCGACACAACTGCGTTTGTTGATTCCGTCGCCCCTAGCAACCAGCATTTGATACCCGAATTAGCATTATAAAGTTGCGCTGCACCAGTGACTTGCGGCACCAACTTGGAATTGGCCCCAGAGTCCAGCCAAGTTGCGCCGGAATTATTTTGTACGTAATCGCTGTGTAATCGGTTGTGTAAATTTGAGCTATTGAGAAATATGTTGTTGAGTTTAACCCACGCCGATTTTTAAATCATCGATCAACGTAATATTGGTGTCGGAAGTGAGATCTGAAATTAATAACTGGTTTTACGACGATTTCCGAGCGTTTGAACAAGAATTCATGAGCTATGTTTGTAAAAATGGACGAAAGAATATACGCAAGAAATAAAGAAATGACAGAAGAAATGGGCGCAACAATGGAGAAAATGGACGAAAAAATGGACGCAAGAAATAAAGAAATGAAAGAAGAAATGGGCGGAAGAATGGAAGTAATGAACGAAAAACTGGAAATGATGGACACAAAAACAGACAAACAAAAAGATAACATATTCACTAGCCTAATTGAAAAATTCCAAAAGGAAGTGGAAGCAAATAAAAACGAAATAGAAAAAATCAAAGAAGGACGTAAAACAAATTTGGAAAATGTGGGAAATATTGTAGGAGAAAATATGATCTCAATGGTGCATTAGTTGAAGAGTAAGTTAGAAAAATCAGTGGAATGTACAGAAGATCGAATGGAGAACAGAATGGAAGATCGTATAAAAATTATGAAAGATCGAATGGAGAGTAAAATGAAGAACTTTGAAAAAATATTCAAAAATGCAGCAACATCTGGTTCCTATAATTTGGTGTCTACCCCCAGAACAATTCAATCAGCAACCATACGAGAAGCAGTTTGAAGCAGCAGCGACGTCGATACTCCAAACTATCTACGAAGAAGACAGAAACAGATACAGTGCCCTAACTGCTGCTCTGGAACTTCGATTTGCGGATGAACATCTGAGACAGGTTTTTGCAGCCCAAGTGAAGACACTAATCCAGAAAGTTGGAGAATCCCTTAAATAAGCAGATGTCAAGAGACTGGTACGTCTTGCATACTCCGACGCACCACCAACTTTTCGCGACGTTCAAATTAAGAAGGTTAAGAAGAGCGGCAGAACTAGAGATGGAAGAAAACGACGGAATAAAGAGGATAGGTACTGGAAAAACTGCCACAACAAATGGATGGTAAAAATAAGGTCCCCAGGGAAGTGAAAATAGGCAGTTTCACCAAAGGAAGTAGTTCAACTATACCGGGGAAGGTTAATGGGAATTGGGTGGC